GGAAAAAACTGAAGGTATCAATACAGCTGGGTCATACTGCTCTACATGTAACTGAGACAGGAAGCAGTCACAACAAACCGCACAGGAAACTCCCACTTTCTAGATTTTATGGTCAGAGGAAAAGATGTTTTGGAGTAAATCACACGTGCTTATGATGACAGGTTGTGCAGTAACTTAAAAAATCTACTTTGGATGTCCAATGTTTCAGTCTCACTTGAAGTCAAAGATCTAAACGGGAAAAAATAAATGAACTAAACAGTAATTTGAGGCCCCTGATCGACAGTAAGTCATGCCAAGACCCTTTAAGGATATTTTAACTCTGGTTTACTCTTCACTCATTGAATCCATTCTGACCTTCAACGATTCATCCTGATACAATCTCCTCACCTCCAAACATAAATCAAAACTCTTCCTCCACCACTCTTTCCAGCTACTACCATCAGGCAGATGATGGAAAGTTACCCTGGCCCGGAAAAACATTCACAAGAAATATTTCATGGTACAGCTGCTGTTTTAAATGAGCCTTGGAGAATTTCTGTCACTGCTTTGGGACAGACAATAAAGTTATTTATCTATTTATGTCCCCATGAAGCCAGTTAAATCTGGTTATATCCAGATTGTTAATGTGTGTTAATGTGTTTTGTGCGTGTGCAGATGAACTGGCCTCTGCCGTGGCATCCTCAGATTGTCGACGTCCAGATCATCACCATCGGTTCTGTAGCTGTCGTAGCTGTTCCTGGAGAGATGACGTAACAACGTTTTACTTATACTACTGATGATCTACTGATAATACTACTGAGATTACTACCACTGAAAATACCACTACTGATGACACTACACTTCATACTGCTGATGTTTAGGGTTGTGCATCATATTGATTTTAACCGTTCCTTTTCCGATTCTTTTTTTTATTTATTTATTTAAAAGGGACAGTGCATATCAATGAACATTTCAGCAATATAAATGTGCCAGAATTAGCACGAAGGCTATTTTCCATCTCTAGTCCCTGGCAGGTCATCACAACGTACACTTAACACAGTTAAACATTAAATTAGATATTAATACAACACAATTTAAAAGACACCACCGTTTTTTACACAGGGTTATGTAATTTAAAGCGCTGTGTATGCAGCAAAGTGCCATTCTATGAAATTCAGTGCAAAGTATTTATTCGTTTCGATTCGGGTTCTTATCGATTCTCGATTTAGATTTTCTGCTAAGGTGAACAGAGTTTCTCCAGTTTAACATTGGCAGAAATAGGTCTGCTACTAGACTAAATTTGGAACTGATGATCGGATTCAAAACCAAATTTTCTAGAGGATTCCATTTGGAATTGTTGTTTTTGAAACGGTTCCAAGTTGGAACCTGTTCTCGCCCAATCCCACTGATGAAACAGCTTATTTAATAGTAGTAATACCACAGAGTAAAAATACTCTGTTACAAGTAAATGTGCTGCACAAACAATCTTACCCAAGAAAAAATACAAGTATTAGCATCAATGTGTACTTTAAGTGCAAAAAGTAACTCATTATGCAGAAGGACCACCTTATTTTTATCCTGGACTCTAGCTTCTACCTCCACACTTATAACGTCCAGTCAGAGTTGCTTTGAGTTGCTGCAGTCTTCCCGTTTCCAATCACTCTGATCAACATTTAGTAGTAACCACAGTAAAGCTTCCCACACTTCATCCTGACCCTGTCGCTCTGCACGTTAACAGCACCATGTCGGGGAGGAGGCTGAGAGAAACGGTCAAACAGGTGAGACACGCAAACATCAGCACCGCATCACACCTGCAACACGCCACGTGTTAACCCTGTGTGTGTTTGTGTATCAGGAACTCGAGTCCGAGGGGGCGTTCAAGGACACAGAGGTGGTGATCGCTGGCCTGAGTAACATCTACACTCACTACATCACCACCTACGAGGAGTATCAGGTACACAGCTACTGAGGCTCATGGGTACTGTAGTTTTTGAGTCGCCCCCAACAGATAAACAAAAGCACAACTTCTAAGAGACAAAGTGTAAATAAATCAAACTGTGTTTTCAGGTTCAGAGGTATGAAGGAGCCTCCACCATCTACGGTCCGCACACGCTCAGTGCCTACCTGCAAAAGTACAAAGGCCTGGCCAGAGCAATCGCACAGGTGGGGCAGGCCGAGTTCCACCTTTAATAATCAGCATTGATCCATTTAATAGATCATTGGATAACTTGAAAGAACACAAGTTGAAAGGAAGAGGTGAGATGGAAGGAGAGGCAAAGTACAAAATACTGTGTGAGTTGAAGGGACAGGTGCATTCAGGTGTTTTATTGGCTTTCCAAAGACATTATCATCATCTCCGATGTGGACAAATGTCCAGAAATCAGCTTAGAAACCAGAAAAAGATGCTGCCTGAGAATCTTCATGTTTTATGTTGTCTTCAGTATCACAGTAATCCAGGGAAAGCTGTATGTACGTCCATGCTAACAGCTAATTCAGCTGCTGTTAATTGGGACAACTGGACAAAATGTAAACATTTATAGGCTTATGAGAGATGCAGTTCCAAAACAAAGACAAACCGCAGGAGTGACGAAACCCATCTGACAGTATTAATGGTCAGACTGCCTCAGCAACATGGTTCTTAAAGAACTGGAACCCTAACAGATCATATTTATTTACTGGTGTGTGTTTTCAGGATCGAGTGTCAGAGCTGCCCGCCGGCCCTCAGCCTCCCTTCTTTCAGAAACTCTTCAATCTGATGCCTGCGGCCCCCGTTGACAGAAAACCGGTGAACAGCAGCTTTGGAGACGTCCTGCAGCAGGTGTACCCCGTCTACAGACAGGTAGGACACGACGTCCTCCTGTGCTCCACTGTCTGCTCGGCGGCATCCCGCAGGGCTGCTGCCCCGAACTCGTTTCCTCTTTCAGTTTGAACTGTTTTCCACCGTTGTTATGCTGACGACACCTCGCTGTTTCATGTTAACATACATCAACTGAAGCGTCTGAATGTGTTTTTCAGGGCGATGTTGTCTCCGTCACGTTCGTAGCAGGAAATCCTAGACATTCTGGAGACATCGTAAGACCAGCTGATTTGCCTTTTTGCTGAGTTTTGTAATATCGTTTTTTTGTTCGTTGTACTTTTCTAACTTTCCTGCTTTCCACCCTCTCCAACCTCCTCGGTCTTGTCGTTCGTTGCAGAGAGATAAAACTTTCATTACTGTGGAGATTTATGACAACAGAACAGAAACCTGGAATGTTGTCTACACTGATGCATCATGGGAGACCAGGTAGGTTAAAGTTCTGTGTACTCTATGTGAAAGCCAATGGTGGAGCAAGTATTTAAATTCTTTACAGTAAAATGTCCCTGCGCCTGTGGTACTATTACATCTCCTCTCCTCAGATTTTTCTTCCTTCTCATTAATGTAAAGCAGGATGTTGCTGCTGCAGCTCATTCTGAACTGTTTAGTTTCAGACTGCAGCTGATGATTCTTTTCATTCTGGATCAATCTGCTGATTGTTTCCTCCATCGGTCCATTGATTGTTTGGTTTGTAAAGATTCTGCTGTCAGTTACCCTGAGCCCAAAGTCACTCCTTCACAATTGTTTTTGAGTCCAAAGCTCAACGCTACTAACAAATGTATTTAGATTAGCCTAGTCCTCTGTGTCAAACTGTGTTGTAACTATAATCATGCCTTTCTTATATGCGGGTCACTGCTTCTAATTCGCCAAAATCTAAATCAGGCACCAGGCGTGGCCTTGCTGAAACCAACCTTTACCTCTAATTGTCTTTGAGGACAGTAAATGACTCTCTCCCTGCAGGTTTCACTGGCTGAAGGGTTCAAACCAGCAGAGTAACTCCACGGTCGAGTGGCACATTCCCCCGTCGGCCCCCAGCGGTTCCTACAGGATCAGACACTTCGGGCACTACAAGCAGCTGAAAGGCCTGCGGCCCGTCATCACACCGTACGAAGGCATATCCGACGTCTTCAGAGTCGCCCACAGCTTTTACTATCAGTGAGGTCAGCACCTCTCCGAGGTCCCAGCTCCTGATCGTCGAGGAGCAGAAAACCAAGATGACATTCCAGGACCTTTCTTCAACAGCTCTGACCTGAAACTTGTGAATTTGTTGGGTTTTAGGATCAAATCAACAGTTTCATCCTGCGGAAATAAAATACAGATCATGCCTCGTGTCTCAGTGGTTAAATTTATGAATTAAAGCAAAACACTTTCCTAAAATCACAATAGAGATTATTTTGATCATTTTCCAAACTTTCTAAAAACGTATCATATGGTTTTTTTTCTTGCATGAATTAAATGAGTCATAGCAACAAATGTTTAGTAGTTTTGTGCTCACATTTAAACCTGCATTTACATTTTTATGGCAGAAACAAGCTGACTTATTAACTCCTTTTAAGTTGAAATGGTGAATTTAAAAGGAATTGAACTATACATCCAGCAGACAACATCGCTCTTTGGAGAGGTGTTTGTGTCCACTTCCATTCAGCTTTGTTTTGATAGAGGGCAGACATGCAGCGCCTCCAGCCACAAAGCTTATTTATGAAATTTCATGTGAGACAGGGCGTCTATCTGAAGCTAGCGTGCAGCCGTGTCACTGGCTTGGCCTTCAGATCTACATTTAAAAAGCAAATGAACAGAAAACAGAAAATGTTGTTTCAAAGACTAAAGTTCTGATGGTCTAACTCTATTTAATATAATATACAAAGAGGCATGACTTCAGGATCATCATTGTAGAAATAATATGGTAACCAACCATAATAAGTACATTTTGCTAATAATACTTGAGTGACAATGCAGAACTGTTTAATGAAGTGTTTTTACAGTGTGGTAGTAATTTACTAAAGTAAAGAAACTGAAAACATTCTATCATTCTACCTATTCTATATTTATGTATATTTTATAAATGTGAACACTATGTGAAATATATTTTGGTTATTTTGGCCACAATGAATAAATCTGAAACTGTATTCAGGTTTATGTTTTGCTGAATAAAAAAAACAACAAAAACTGTTAATAACAAAAATATTTATTTTAAATTCGTCTGTAGAAACTTGTCAAGCGAACCAGAACTGCACAACAGAGACATATTTAATCAGCATGACGAAGGTCAAAACACCAACACCAACGTGCACCGAAAGTCTGCATCCAACACAATATAAAATAACCTCAGTGAGACGTTTGTTTCTTAGTGAGACGCGGCGACATGTTAGCACGGACTTCAGGAATACAACCTTTCAACTATTGCACATTTCCAGGTGTTACAGCTCAACCTGTCGATTAAACATTTGATTTTTACATACTAAACTGGTTTTCCAGTAAAAAAGTTTCACTTGCTGGATTATGTTTTGTGTGGATATGGGTCGATTTAAAGGGTAAAAATTCCACCCATCAACACTAGACGCATGTGTTGTAAATGATCAGACCGTTTATATAGTTCACTCTTATTTACTTGGTGATACAGAGAGACTGTGGCCAACGCACGTACTTACAGTTAGATCCGGGTAACTTATTATTATTTGGCTGAACAGATGACGACCGCAGTTTCGTTCATTCATTGATTCAGAGCAGCTGTCCTGCTGTGTCGGCGCTCGATTAGACGTTTCTTACAAAGAAGGAGAAACCTACCGATGGTCTATAACTTCCTTCTTGTTACCTTCTCTTTCAAAGAAACTCCACCGGCAACAGAAACATGTTGGGGAAAACAGCAGCCAATTGCAGCCCTCGCTAACCCTAACCTAATGCTGCGTTCCAGACTTCTCAAAACGAAAATTTCTAACCTCCATGTAGTGAAAAGTACATACTCCGAGTCAGAGCTCCACTTGTGAACTCGAGGCATCTCCATGGAAGCACATACTGTAAATGGTAAACCATCAACTAAAAGGCAACGTAAAGTATATTTGCCTGTATTTTATTAAAATAATACACCCTATCATATAATAAAACCTGTTCTGGGAGTAAGAAAGTGCCAGTGTTATTGGGCAGCTGGTTACAGTATCTCTGACTTTTGCAGATTACACACTGATCTAGCGAGACGGGAACACCGTAAACGAGAGACGTATATTTATGTTGCTCTTTTTATTTAACACCACTCACTGCTGAGGGTTCAGCTGTGCGCACACTTGGCAAAGAAGCATCAGTTTGTCACGGTCAGCCATGTTTTTAGTCCATGTTTGGCGTAATGCACCTGGAACGCTTTCAGGTCGGAAGTCAGAAACTTAAACTGTGAAATTCAAGACCAACTGTGACTAGAGCGCAGCATTAACCAACGGAGGCAACGAGTACCAGCCAATCAGAGGCAGGGTTGTCAAAAATCTCGAGAGCGCTCAATCTCAAAACACTTTACACTGGTTTTGTGCAGGTTGGACGACAAGTTTCCTTGAAACGGTGCGCAACAGACTGTGAGGTACGTTTCCCCTCGTTTGGTGGGCGTGTCAGAGTGTGTTACCCAATCAGCAGCGACGTGTATGTAAGCACTGCCATATTAAAAAGGCAGTGAAGTGCAGCGCGCCTGTGTTCACAACAGGGTGTTCAAGGCATCACCTGCAGTTTGTCGGGGCTGAACTCGGCTCTGAGAAGCACGACAGCTACGTCGTACAACGTGACCCTTAACACAGTAAACCTGGAGGACGCAGTTCACCTGCATGTTCACCTGCATCTCTCCACAGACCATTTTGCATATCAAAGTAAGTAAATTCCCTTTGTCATCATTAAGTGCTATGATATAATCCTCCACATATCTCCATGTTGCTGTTTAAATAATATCTTGACATGCAGAACAACAACAATCATTGGTACATTGCATCTTCGTCCCACACGTTTCCAGTCAGAACGCACCTCAACGCGACGCTGAACATCGTCAGCTCTCTGATTTCTGACGTCGACTTCATCAACGTCTACCTCACGTTCCAATAAATCAGCTCGTTAATACAGACGTTCATGCCAGCAGAGCTAATGGCTGTACGGACGAACCAAGGCTGTGCTCATACACGGCACTACTGCTTTGTCCCAGAATCCTTTGCTTTATGATTCAGGTTTCAGATTCTCAATCCTCAGACACCAAACTGCAGTTACTGGTCTTTTTGGAAGGAAGGTCCTGCTGCTTCATCATCAAACCCGCCACCGTCTTTGTCCTCCAGGACCCCGGCGACACATTAAAGTGCTTTCAATTAGACAAAAAATGTTTTGGTCCATTAAATCAAACCAGATGGAAGTAACACCTTAGTTTCACCCACAGAAACATCCTCATCTTTGCAGACTGGAACAAATGCAGCTGTATTAAATGACTGAGACTTGACGATGCAGGTCAATAAATACACACAGTAGGCTGCTGGTACGTTTCCACTGACAGAGCAGAAGATGGTACAGAGAGACGTCTGGTCTCTTTTAAACTTTAGAAAACTCTGCTGGAGTATTTACAGTATTTTCACATGTTCAGTTTGGAGAGGAAGAAGTGAGAAAGTTTCTACCAACACGTTCTGTTAAACGTTAACATGCAACCATAACATTAAAATACTCTAACTGTAGTATGTTGGCATCAAACATGTATCATGTTAATGGAAACTTTAATAACATAGCACTATGTCTACGCTTCCAGTCTTTATGCTAAGATAACCTGCTGCAGCTTTATATGTGGCGCCAGAGTCAATCTGAGCATCTAACTCAGAGAGAGAGCATGCACCAAAATGTTCTTCTCTTTTAAATCAGTGTGTTGTTCCGGTTGACCTTCAAACGTTAAGTTAACTTCTCTTAAAAACCAGACTGTTCTCATAGCTATATCAATAAAACAGAAAAGTCAGAGTAAGGAGGTGGTTAGGGTGGAATAAAAACCAGACTTTCACACAGGGGACTGGTGTTCATTTCCTGTGTGAAACAAAAAGCCACCATTGGTGATGTTACGTAAGTTATGTAATTTAAAGGTTCAGTTTGGAGGTTTTAGTGGCATCTAGTGGTGAAGGTTTCAAACTGAAACCAAAGGCTCAGTCAACGTTCACCCCTCCCTTTCCAAGCGAGCAGGAGAAGCTACGACATGCTCCGTCAGCTCTCCTGCTAAATAACACGTATGCGCCTCCATTTGTTCCTCCTCCTCCTAATAAAACGCGCTCTGCAGAGCAGTTTGTCCGTTTGGGCTACTGTAGAAACATGGCGGTGCAACAGGGTGACCTCCATGTGAGAGGTGTCTGTGGACAGAAAATGTCTCATTCTAAGGTAATAACAACATTAAGGTCTTTATGCAGCGCTGAGAACATAGTTATGGATCTCATCTTGCATTTCTGTCATTAGAACACACTGGACCTCGTATGTAACGTAGTTATTTTGACCCAAACCATGAACTTTTCCTAAACCTGACCCAACAGATGTTTCACAACGTTAAGCACTAGTTTTATTTCAGGCTGCGACGTTCTGCTCTCTTGAGCTCTGCAGCTGAAGTAGCTGAAATAAATAATAGAAAGGAAGAACATGTCGGTGCACCTCAACACGTTTCTTTCTGTAACTCTTACTCTCCTCTCAACACAGAAAGCTCTTTTCTCATGCAGAGTTTCAGGGTGGAGGGAGTCTGTGGGAGTTTCCACTTCCTCTCACACGGTTTTGGTGACTTCCTGTTTGCTGAGGAGGACTTCCAGCAGACGCAGTTTAGCCTTGAGCTGTTTGTATTCCTGGTATTCTTCCTTCATCGGAGTGCGATCCTCTTTCTGGCAGATTCTGGCAGTAAACACAAGAGTGGCCATATTATCATTTACTTTTCATTTAGGACGTTTCCTATAATAATCCATCTTCATTGATCAGGTCATGTATTCTGGATCTAAAACCTTAATGTCCAAATTCAGAGGAGTACACAAGGTACCTGCATTCTTCCTACTTATTTATTTATTTATAATTATTTACTTGAATATTTTAGGAAACTGCGTACTTACTGCTGCATTTAGTCATTTCATCAACAAATAAAATGAACTCCACCACGGGACGATTTAAAGAAAACATTTCACTGATAATTACTGAAGTAAAAGTACAAGAGTATTCATCTTGAAGAGCTTTTAGTTTTACAGAATGGAATTAATAGTTAATACTGGCAGATTATGGGTTAGAGGGGGGGTGAAAAGGATGCACGAGGGAGGCCACATGTCTCCGTTTGGTCTCTCACCTTCCAGTCTGACGGTAAAACTCGTCCTCAAACTCTCTCAGAACTTTACGCCTTGTCTTCTTCTCTGCCCTCGTCTCCCGCAGACAAACCAGCAGCTGAGACCTGGTTCAGTTGGAGAACACAATGTAGAGGTTGAAACCGGGACATGTGGTTGGACTAAGCCCAGTTTTAATCCCCCAAGAAGCAGCCAAACAGTAACGGAAAGCAGGAAGCAAAGAGGCTCCCTGTGGACAGGCTTTATATGCATGATGATCTGAGTCACCAACCAACACACCGGCGTTTGAGTTCTTACTTTCCGCTCAATAACAGTTGGTCTTAAAACGACATTATTTAGTTGTTATTTTGGTTTTTGATTTTTATTTTGAATAGAATCGCTGAAAAGAGACAGGAAATGTGGGCTTGACTCAAACCTGGGCCCCTGCAATGAGGATTATGTTGTATTTTCATCTTAAAATAATGATGCTACATTGACTCGGGGTCCACAGCGACTGCTAATGCACTTTGCAGCATTAAAATCCCGGGGAGGAAACCTTTCGCGACAACAGCGTGATGCTTTATGGCAACACGTCACACACACCAAGTAAGCTAGCTATAAGAAGAAGCTAGCTCGCTATTCTCAGTACGGATATCATGGCAGAAGTGAGGAAGAGAAAAAAAGAGTGAACAGACAACAGACCGGACAAGAGTAAATATGAGACTGGCTTTTACTCGTTGGCATGAGCTAAAAGAGCTGAAAGAACGCAGGACAGACGGCCTTCTTTAGTTGGACTAGTCAGTAATAACTTGGCTTAAGTGAAACCAGAACCTCAATGTTCTGCTCCAGAAGTCCTTATTAAAATCACATGACGTTTGTAATAAACTACCCTATTAGAGCCCACATACAGACCTGGAGGCTTCGTGCAGGCCGGCCATGGTGAGAGCTGGCGGCTGATGGACGGCTTTCACCTCATCTAACGGCGACACGAAGGCGGGGTCGCTGTCCCGGTCGCTGTCCTCCTCGCAGACAGCTGGGCGTGTGGCACAGCGAGGAGGCGTGACTGGAGGTTCATCAACTGTCATGGAGCTCATTGAGTCTTCATCAGAACCGTCCTCTTCCTCCTGAGAGACAGAAGCATTGGAGCTAAAGATTAAAGTCTGTCCTGAGGGGGGCGCCAGAGGAAAGCTCATGTTGTAAATCATCATCCAGCAAAAACAACCAGCTAACGAGTAACAGCTCAAGAAACCTGAATTTTATTCATTAATTAGACATGTAAGAAATGAGTGAAGACTTCTTCCCCCACCTGTTTGTCAGAGTGTGCTCACAGATGAATGCTAATGTTAGCATGCTACCAGTGAACCAGTGACAGTGAATGTGTGTGTTTCTCACTATGGTAGTGATGGTCGGGCTGGCACACAGTAAACGTTTGATCATCTGGTATCGGTCGTACAGAGGCTTCACCAGGTTCTTCTCCTGTTTTGTTCCCTGAGAGACACACAGACAGATATGGAGTTACCACGGCAACATCTTTGTGCCTCTAGAAGGGTTATAATCTAAATAAGTCAATTTAGCCCAGTTTTAAGACTGTCAGACCTCGTTTCTGTTAATAGCTGCTTCATTGAAATTGATCCTCTGCTCCATGAAATTAATTTACTGTAACTGATCTCCATTAAAATTATACATTAATTTGAGCAGCTTGCCGACAGACTGACAACGTGCCGACAACAGACCGACAACGTGCCAACAACGTGCCAACAACGGACCGAAAGACCGACAACGTGTGTACTGCTGATCTAGCTGGTTGATCTCAGCAGGACAGATGACGCCTCTGAACAATCGTCGGATATTAATCACTACTCATGAACGCAGCTTCTCTCCAACTTTAAACTCCAATCGTTCCTGTCATCAGAGGAAAACCACCACTTAATACAAATCTGAATCACATGGTGCTGTGACCGTGGAAAGCTAACAGAGATCACCGGGGTCTTGGCCCCATCTAGGCCGACTGCTGTGACTTCGGTGGCCCCTGGTCGGCCCTCTGTTGGCTGCTCACAATGTAAACTTGAGGATTTAATGGAGATTTATTAACGCAGGATTCATTTCACAAAGCAGAGTCTCTAGAGCAGAACAGAAAAGACGTCCTCCTTTGAATTGCGTTGGTATTTTCTGTTCCTGCTCTGTTTTTCATTCTGCCCACTAGACTCACCGGCCGGCCGTGCAGACTCTCAAAGTAGAGCAGACATTTCTGCAGAGTGATCTTCTCCAACACCATCTGAGCCTGAGTCATCTCCTGCACACAGACACACACAGGCTGTCAGATTAAACACACAGACATGGGGGAATAAAACTCTGAAGAAAATGAACAGAGTCTGGTGAGGACGTCTGAGTGAAAGCTGACCTTCATGTTGTCTGGCAGGCCCAGAGCTTGTCTCTTCTCTCTCAGCCGCCTGAACAGAGACTCCACCGTTTCCTCTAGCGTGGGTTTGTACTCTGCCGCCCCCTGCTGGCCGGAGCCGTGCCTGCAGGACACATCGACACTGACTGATGGATCTGATGATACTGTATCACGTTGACTCGACGTGTTGTGATGTGCTGGTGTTACCTGCAGATGTTTTCAGGCCCGTCCTGCTCCTTCAACTCAAACACCGACTGTCTAAGTCTCAGCTCTGCAGGAGACACACGGTGGTGTAACAAAGTGATAATAAGCTTTATTTATAGAGCACTTTTCAAACCAACATTGCAAAGTGCTTTACAACAATTAAACACATATTTTGATGGTTTCACCTTTGAGCTGTTTGCGAGCCTTCGCCAGTTCACTCATCACTCCGACCATCTCGGGGTTCGAGTATTTATCGTTGTGGGACGGCTGAGAAACACAACACGACACCATCAACATCATTTCTACACGGCAAGATGTAAAACACGAAAGTTAGGAACTGAATCATTTTGAAGACTTGAAAGTGTGCAGAAAGAAGGCTTGTGAGATATCCGTGGATAGCCTTAGCTAAAGCTACGTTCAGGTGATGATTTGCTCGTTATCGGTAAATGAATGATATAAAAGTTAATGTTATTCCGCATCATTAAATAAGACAGCAGCTGAATCACTGTTTGATGGAGAAGAAAAGATAAACAGTGCAATTCCTGCCAAAGGTAGCTAGCTTAGCACAAAGGTAGCTGGTTTCCTGTACTCTGCCTTTATACTGATTTGTGAAAAGACCCTCTGGGTCCTGGACTTGATTGTGGACTGGGATCCTGCTCCCTGCTGTGTTTACCTTGTATTTCATCTCCTGTTCAAACTGATCCTCAAACCTGCGAACCTTCTTCTTCAGGGTCTGAATCTGTCGGCTGAGGAACGGGACGGAGGAGAGACACTCGTCCTCCGATCCCTCCGACCTGTCCCGACCTCGACACCTGGACAGGTAAACAGAGAGACAGGTAAACAGACAGACAGAGAGACGGGTAAACAGACAGACAGAGAGACGGGTAAACAGACAGACAGAGAGACGGGTAAACAGACAGACAGAGAGACAGACAGACAGGTAAACAGAGAGACAGAGAGACAGACAGACAGGTAAACAGAGAGACAGACAGACAGGTAAACAGACAGACAGGTAAACAGAGAGACAGGTAAACAGACAGACAGACAGACAGAGAGACAGGTAAACAGAGAGACAGACAGACAGACAGGTAAACAGAGAGACAGACAGACAGGTAAACAGACAGACAGAGAGACAGGTAAACAGACAGACAGACAGGTAAACAGACAGAGAGACAGGTAAACAGACAGAGAGACAGGTAAACAGACAGACAGAGAGACAGGTAAACAGACAGACAGAGAGACAGGTAAACAGACAGACAGAGAGACAGGTAAACAGACAGACAGAGAGACAGAGAGACAGGTAAACAGAGAGACAGACAGACAGACAGACAGGTAAACAGAGAGACAGACAGACAGGTAAACAGAGAGACAGACAGACAGGTAAACAGAGAGACAGACAGACAGGTAAACAGACAGACAGACAGACAGAGAGACAGGTAAACAGACAGACAGAGAGACAGGTAAACAGACAGACAGACAGACAGGTAAACAGACAGACAGACAGGTAAACAGAGAGACAGACAGACAGGTAAACAGAGAGACAGACAGACAGGTAAACAGACAGACAGACAGGTAAACAGACAGACAGAGAGACAGGTAAACAGACAGACAGAGAGACAGGTAAACAGACAGACAGAGAGACAGGTAAACAGACAGAGAGACAGGTAAACAGACAGACAGAGAGACAGGTAAACAGACAGACAGACAGGTAAACAGACAGAGAGACAGGTAAACAGACAGAGAGACAGGTAAACAGACAGACAGAGAGACAGGTAAACAGACAGACAGAGAGACAGGTAAACAGACAGACAGAGAGACAGGTAAACAGACAGACGAATCAGCTTCAAATCGGAGGTCCAGATCTCACTGTAAGACAGTGACATTGATTGTGCTGTCAGTGGTAAACGTGGTCGGTGAAGGGATTTGCACTCCGGCCCACCGCCATGACACCAGGCTAAGGTGGCCCCAAGGCAAAGGGCCCCCGGGGCCGTCACACAGGCCCACCATTAAATGCAGACTTAACTTTAAATGACTTTTTCCATCACATGCAAAGCACAGGGGAACGTGATCGTAGCAGGACGGTGTACATGTAAGAAGGATGGGAGTAAGAAAACCAAATAAACAGGCGAATAAAATACAAGAAGCAGATTCAATATGACTGTTGCTCAGTAAAGCAGAAACACAGGACGGACCATTAAGACCGTCAACTGGGTCACAAGCACACATTCAGCTTCAGGCTGTGGGTCAGAAAACAGAAGGATTATATAAGATGTGTTAATGCAGCGGCCAGCGAGAGCTCAGACAAGTTTATTCACGGGACTTTAAGGCCACAAACCATGTCACATGATGTTTGTGGAGACAGGAGGATCAACTCAGACAGACAGACAGGGAGACACTCACACTATGTACTGCTGGCTGCAGGGCGGTGACGGTGCCGTGTCGGGGTCGGAGTTGAACCTCAGGCTGTGGCTGGAGCAGCGGGGGGAGGGCAGAGGGCTGGGACCGCCCGCCAGCAGCTGGAGAAGAGCTCCACCTCCCCCTCCTCCCTCACCTCCGGGGTTGCTCCTCGGTGGGGAGTAGGGGGAGTGGTGAGGGCTGGGGGGCAGCTCTGCATCGGGAGGCAGGGGCTGCTGAGCAGGTTGGATGGTGGTTAACAGCTGGTGTCTGGGAGACTGCGGAGGTCTGGTCAGGACTGTCAGCAGCTCTGCAGGGACAGAACCATTCTGTTAATATTTAAGTGAAACTCCCCTGTTAGCATAAGAAGCAGCTCTGAGGACGTGTTCAGTTTTTTATTAATGTACAACGGCTCCTCCTGTGAAGAAAGTTTATAGAATTACTTATAGAAAAATATCAGGAACCTCCTCAATGACCACTAGACCCACTACATAAAAAGGTCCCCTAGAACCACCAGAAGGACCAACAGAACCTTCTTGATGACCACTAGAACAACCCACTACATATAAGGACCACTAGAATTACCTGAAGGACCACTAGAGCAACCTTAAGGACCAACAGAACCTCCTCAATGACCACTAGAACAACCCACTACATAGAAGGACCTATAGAACTACCAAAAGCACCACTAGAACAACCTTAAGGACCACGAGAACCTCCCAATGACCACAATAACTACCATAAGAATTTCTAGAACAACCTCAATGACCCACAAGACCCATTACATAGAAGGACCTCTAGAACCACCAAAATGACCCCTGGAATCACCTTAAGGACCATGAAAACCCTCTTCAATGACCACTAGAACAACCTTAAGGACCTCTCAAATCTCCTCAATGATCACTAGACCCACTACGTAAAGGACCCCTAGAAGCACCTGAAGGACCAACAGAACCTCCTCAATGACCACTAGACCCACTACATAAAAAGGACCCCTAGAACCACCAGGACCACTAGAATTACCTGAAGGACTAACAGAACCTTCTTGATGACCACTAGAACAACCCACTACATATAAGGACCACTAGAACCACCAAAACGACCATGAGAACCTCCTCAGTGACCACTACAACAACCTTAAGGACCAACAGAACCTCCTCAATGACCACCAGAACAACCCACTACATAGAAGGACCTATAGAACTACCAAAAGGACCCCTGGAATCACCTGAAGGACCAACAGAACCTCCTCAATGACCACCAGAACAACCTAAAATACATTAGAACTAGAGATGCACCGATCGTCCCGCATGTCCGATCCTGTACCGGTCAGATTTACACGCAGGCTGCGCTGCACGACGGTTCACGTCATGCACACAGCGGCGCAGACACAAACACTGAAACATGTGGTCAGCGTGGAAGTTCGCTCGCCATTTGTAAACCTGTAAGGGCAAAATCTTTGTTTCCACCGGGTTCCCAAAATGCTGCCATACAAACAATTTAAAAGCGGTGAGGACGTCTTCTACGGCAACTTCACCCTCACACTCCGTCATGCTGATATCGTGAGACAGCTTTTCACCTCGAAAAATATCGTCACGTTTTAATATCGCAAGATCCCATGGCACGAGAACCATATGGGAGACTTTATAAAACTATTGAGGAATAAAGTTAGAGCAGCAGGTGTATCTGAAGGGGAGCCGCTTAAAACGGTTTGTGAGTAAACACTAAACCAAGGTGGAGAAACAGGGACATCGCTAACCTGGAGCTCTTTATATTCTGAGAGGGGCCAGAGAGAGAAGCTCCTGTGACCTGCTGCAGTTCATTAACAGGCGACGCCAAAGGGCCCAGATTCAACTCCCCGCTGTGACACGTCCACCAATGTGTCCTTGAGCAAGACACTTAACCCCTCGTTGCTCCAGAGGCGTGTGACCTCTGACATGTACAGCAGCTGTAAGTCGCTTTGGATAAAAGCATCAGCTAAATGAATAAATGAATGTAAATGTAACAGAGCTGAATGGAGCCCGGGAAGAAGAAGAGAAGACTTTTCTATTAAAAGAAAGCCGTCAGTCATCAGGTCAGACCTTTAATGACCACAAATCCCCACTGAAAGACCACCGCCTCCTCAGTGACCCCCCTAAAAGGTCAGTTACCCACAGGACCATTAACGTCTCCTGAGTGACCACTAAACCAAGATCAAGGATCTCTAGAACCTCCTGACCACAAGGACCCCCTAAAAAGGTCCTCTACAATTACCTGAAGGACCAAATAACCCCTAGAAACAAAACTGAGAAAGCAGCACATCCTGACATCGGAGAAGCTGCTTCGGCACCGATGCTCGGAAACGACTCGAACGCGGATCGATAACAGAAGCGGTTACAGATGAGTTTGTCCGTCGCCTCGTCGCGTCATTAAAAATAGCTGCGGTTGATCGTTTTTTGTGGAATAAAAGTAGGCGTGACCGAACAACGGGAAGGAATCTGAAATGCGTGAAGGCAGATCTGGAAACAGGCGGTCGGCGTGTCTCACGTGCTGCAGAGAGTTTCACTATAAATAGCAGCAGACACACACAGACAGAGCACGGCCGGTGGCGTGCTGAGCGCAATGAGCCGACTCATCACAAAGACTGACTCTACTAACTGTGCGTCCAGTCTGTAGAGGTTCTGAGGGCGGAGAGGAAGAACACTGCTGTTGCAATGAGCTTTACAGACCAGGACCAATAAATATTAAGATCAGTAAAGTGGGGGGGCATTATTAGATTCAGGTGCATCTACCTGGCGGGCTGTTTTCGTCCGTGGGGACGCTGTGGCAGAGAGCCAGCGTCTTCCCCTCCTTCCCTCCGAGCTCCACGGGGCCACAGGGCCCCTTCTGCTCCTTGCTGCCCAGGGCAGGGGGGCTCTCCTCTGGGGACAGACCCAGCGGGTGGCCCCCCTCCACCTCCAGCGCCTGGAGCTTCAGCAGGGAACTCTGCAGGCAGAAGCAGAACATGCCAGACACGCTGATCCAGAGATTAACCTGGTCCCAGGAGGAGGCTGTGTGCAGACAGATAGACCGGTTTCTGGGATGTGTAGGGCTGGTACGGATCACGGAGTCCAGATACTAGCCAGATCCCAGCCTCTGAAGCACCACATGTGGAGGAGTGGCACTGATGGTTTGAAGTAGCTGGTTCATTAGGATGGACCCTGTTTAGGAAGTAGTCTGTCCCCCCAGTCCAAAAGACGAGCCAGTGAACCTCCTAATCATGAATTAGACCGGTATCATCCAGTGAAACAAGCCACGATGCCTCCAGCTCCTCCAGAGACGAGCCACATGCAAGTGGACAGTCCGGGAATATAAATCACTCCAGTGATTAGCCAGATCCAGAGGCACCTTATTTCTTCTTCTCGTGCTCTCAGCGTGCGACAGTCCAGGACTTAGCCGGCTCCGGTGTGACTGAGCTCTGCAGGGAAAGAGGAGCTGAGAGGTTTTGAATTTTCTTTCTCTCTCGTTCTGCACGTTTACTGATGATGATGCTGATGATGCGTTGGTCCTCCCTCCCTCCCTCTGCCATTAGCTCTCCAGCTCTCTCGCTCCCTCCCTTGTTGGATTACTCATCCTCAGGCTCGTGAACGAGGGAGAGGAGGGAGGAAGGAGGGAGGGATGTTTGTCCGAGAGAGAGAGGGGGAGAGAGACATATGGGGAACATGAGGACGCCTCTCTCTCCTCCTGATCGTGAGGTTTTTCCCGCATCAGTGGGGGATGGGCTTCTGCTGACATCACTGTGTGTTTGAAGCTCATTCATAAAAAAGCGAGCAGCAGCAGCAGGAGGAGGAGGAGGAGGAGGAGGAGGAGGAGGAGGAGGAGGAGCAGCTACGTGCCTCCCCTCACACATCCACACACAGTTTAACCCTTTAACACCCAGTTTCCACTTTTATTTCACCTTCAGCTTCTCATGTTGGGACGTGCAAACAGGAACAGTGTTCTACATCTACCTGCTCACCCAGGCCTATAGACACGCCCCCGACGCCAAACATGGTCAGTGCTTCCTCTGGAAGTCCGACATTTTCGTTTTAAAACGTCTGCTACGTTTCCGCCGGCCGTCCAGACTAAAGCGGTGAATCCAAAGACCGAAATCGGTCTGAAGCAAAGAAATCTCTGCTGTGGCGTCAGCTGTTCAGACCGTGCTGCTGCTTTGATCTGTACGACATAAGAAAAATCAGGCCCCACCTCACTCAGTGTTAAAATCAATTCTTCTGAATCGATTATTTATGTTAATTGATGTTGACGGAATGCAAACGTTGGAACTCAGGTGGTTTGAGGGGACCTGATGGCGCAGTGGATAAGACACATACCTCGTTGCTCCAGAGGCGTGCGACCTCTGACATGTATAGCAATTGTAATTCAAGCGTCAGCTAAAAGAATAAGTGTAAATGTCCAGTGTACACACGCCACTAAAATGTCACACAATCACTCATTTTAACTCGCACACTGTGTGAGCGAATGAGAGAGCGCGAGCGGCAGAACATGGCGGTGTAAGTTAGCGGAGAAATATATTAGCAGCAAGTTTCAGTCTGATGGTAAACGTGCAGCGTAGGTCACAGAGTGTCCGTTCCCCCCAACGGCTGGAGACGTGAAGGCTGCAGCGCGAGCTAACGTCTCCTCTGTGCAGCACGGGTTTTAAATTAGTAAGGAAGCCATATTGATTAGCTCAGCTGTATGTCTTACTAATCTACCTGCTAGTCCAGGGTTGAACATCAGGTAGAAGCTGAGACTAAACTGGTGTGCAGCTCCGTCCTGTACCGCGCAGGACCACGGAGCTGAAGTAAACCAGGGACGCAAACTCGTCCTTTTGAGCTAATTAGACTTTTCCAGAGATCCTGTGTAGAAATAAAATGACGCATCGATAATTGTTTCAGAATCGTACGGCAGGTACCCGGAGATTCTCACCCCTACTCAGCAGTCCACCCAGATCCTGGTCCAGGCCATGGTTACCTCTCTGCCCTAAACTCCACAATCCAAGCCCACCTCTCCTTTTGTGTGATGTGGCGTCCTTACTCTTATAATTCGGCGCTGCACCTGTGCGTTTGTTATGTTATTTTAAGATAAAATACATTTAGCTGTCGCTTTTATCCAAATCGACTTACAACTGCTGTACATGTCAGAGGTCACACGGAGCAACTAGTGCGTGTCCACTGTCTAAAGGGGGCGTTTCAACCTTCAGCTTCTCTGCTGGTTGGTGACTTCTGTCCTCCTAACGTCCCACTAACAGAGTCCAGAACAGACCTGAAGCTGGACTGGGTTTTCACTCTTCACTGAACAGACTCTACAACTGAAACAGAGGAAAACCGTAGAAAGAAAGATGCTTAAATACAATCTTTGTATTTAATGTCGGCATTTTTACAGCTCTAAGTACTATTCTACTGCTACTATACTCTGTACTATACTCTGTGTAGTACTGCGTAATATTTCAGTAAACAATATTCAGTTTGGGAGCATCTAAACAAACCACAGCAAACAGGTGACACGTTAAACACGTCAGCGATTCTCCATCTAATCAAGTGAAAACTGTAAAGTGAATAAACCCCAGGTGCAGCTGACATGGTGGTAAAAATGTATGCGGGGGGGGGGGGCATGTTGCATCACTCTCCTTCACTGCTAATTGGATGGCGGCCATGTTTGGACAGGTTGGGTTTTATGTATTGAATGTATTTAAACAGATTTCCTCTCTCAAGCTTTTAGCTGCAGAGTTAAGCTGCTCCAGTGTGAAACAAACTTCACACACTCTTCAGTGGAGTCTGGTTTGATTCTGTCTGACCTGCGGAGGAAAAACGACGCGTGCAGCTGCTGCTGAGGTAAAAACTTTATGTTACTGCAAGACTGGAAACAGTAAATCATGTACAGCAGAAAGACGTTCACAACATGTGTGTTTATTGTTCCTGTGCATTATTAGGACTGTATAGTGATCATCAGTGAAGTGACGAACTGCTCGCCAAACTCCGTTTAAAACACGCGAGGATTTATTTAATCTGATTTTATAGCAATGATCCACATCGTTTACAATGATTTAACGATATTTTCCAAATAATAATGAGACTTTGGAAATAATCGGGATTAAATGATCCTCCGAGAAACACTTAATTTGAATGTTATTTTTAAAGGTAAAAACACATTTGGTGTTTTTAAGCGTTTTTAAAAGTCATCTCTCACGTTTCTGATGTGTTTTTCCTGTTTGTATTAGAGACTGTTTTCACTAAACTGACGGCATTAAAGCAGGATCTTCTTTGGGGAAGCGCTCGCCAGACTCCATTTAGGAATCATGTGAATTTAGGGAACCGTGTTTATGGGCAGCGAACACAGATCTTTCTAACAGGCTGTCACGTGTTTTCCAAACATTTCGCATCTTTGAATAAATTCGGCATCTGAATAAACCTCGAAACAAGAAGCTTTCTTTTAAAGAACTTACATGTTGTCCCTGCATGGCGGCCAAGCCAGACAGAAAACACTCAGTTCAGTGGATTTGTGCTGTGTGTTCACTGCAGTAATGCCGAATGTCTCAGTACCAGCTTTAAAGTGAGAAAAAAGGCCTGTGTCCTGTTGACAAAGTTTGCCACAAACTAAATTACTTACTTACTGTTAAAATCTCTACATAATAAATTGAGTTTTGTTTATTTTGTCGTTACGTGAACGAGATAAATGTATTTATTTAAAATGAGTAAGTTTTGGTCTAAACGACACCAGAGACGTTTTATAACACTCACCTGCAGCTGTGCAGAAACACCTGGCGGCCATTCTGCAGAAGTACACGTTATTATAGACACCTGAGAGGGAAACACTTATTCTATAAACTGAGTCCAAATGGAAATCATTTCTTCAAAAAAGGTGACTTGGAGGCAGGGAGGTTAGTTTAGCTCCTACGTCTGTTTACTCCTGTATTTTATTGTAATTTATATCTTGTTTTATGTGTTTATGCATTTATCTCCCCCTGGAAAAAAAATCATGTGACTTTTACTGGAGAAACATTTTAATGACACAAATAAATAAAAATCCTGCAGAGTCGTAACGCTCAGAGTCTGATGAAAAGCTTTAAAGAAACACTGAATATATAAATAAGAAATATTGCTGCAACTGACGATTATTTTCAGTATTGTCGATCATTTTCTCCATTCATCGATTAGAAAATGGTGAAAGCTCAAGGTGACGTCCTCCAAAACATGTTCGCATTTACAAGATAAGAGCACACAGAACACACAAAATCGTGAAGCGTTTTCACTTTTCAAACATTTTATGTGATTTTTATTTTCCTCCATCCTTTTGTGTGAGATTTGTGTTTTGGAGAAACAGCGCCTCCACCGGCGCGGTTCAGGCAGGGAGCGGTACTGCAACGCGGGAGACTGTGAGAGACTTCCTCCCCGAAAATTAAACAAAAGCCCGCAGAATTATAATAAATATTATAACAAATTCAGTATAAGCTCTGTGAGAAGTTGATGGTACAAAATGCAGTAACTGTAGAAACGCTGTGTTGTCTTTAATTGGTGTTTGTGAGGAGAATGTCACTCTCACCGGACTGCTTTTCTTTTCTATCCATTTCACGTTAATAAGAAACCGGATGGTGTCTGGTGAGAAACGGGGTGAATATCTGTAAATGATTAAAACTAAACTTTAACACTTGCTATTTGGTGGATTACGTGTTTGCCGATTTAAGGAGAGACTCAGACAGTCTCAGAAAACTGAATAATATAATGTTGTCGGTATACAGGTTCGGTAATCCGAGCTGTGGTGTTATTTTACAGGTTTTTGTAAGCGGAGTTCTGCCGATGCAGATGCCAGCTCACAGCGGGCGGGTCAGACTGTAAAAGAAGCGGGAATAACAAACATGTTTCCGGTAATATCCTTCAAAATAAAAGGCACCGTAACTGTCGTTTGCATAACTGTTGGCTGAGATGTTCGGTGCAGAAGGTTGACGGTTCGAGTCCCGAATGTGCACAACGTAAGTCCAGGACTGTTTGTAATAATATTACAATTATTAAAATGATTGGAAGGTTAATGTATCTCAGACCTCTGCAGGAGGTAGAAACAATATTGACTGAATCTGAAAGTCTGGGCTTGTCCTGGCTGAAAACTGAAGCACAGCGCCTGTAAATTATAAATAACAATACTATTATTCATTTATCAGCTGCTGGAGAGCACGAGTTTCATTTTGTGCATGCGGTTCATTTATAAGATCTTTAATATCCACAAATGTAGAAATTTGTCTCCGTTAGAAATCACAATACAAACAATTAAGAAGATGCAGTGCAGACGGTAACGGATGCGACTCCATTGTAGAGACATGTCAATGAACTGAACGAACCTTTTGCATTTGGTACGAAAGATTTTGTCTGTGAAGATTCTCAGTCATCCAGGTCATAGTTCTCCAACGAAGGTTAAAATCAAGGGCAACTGGACTTGGTTGAAGCTACTGGAAGACGTTTCGTCCCTCATCCAAAGGACTTCTTCAGTACTGACTGACTGGCAGGGAAACTCAGCTATTTAACCTCAGTGGGGTCGTTATCCCGGGTCATCGATACCGCTGGTTCGTTAGTGTTCCTTGTTGCTGTGACGACAGTCGTTACAGTCGTTAAGACTACCTGTGGCCAAGACTGAACGACCATCGTTGGTATCTTCACCTGTGGCCAAGACTGAACGACCATCGTTGGTATCTTCACCTGAGGCCAAGACTGAACGACCATCGTTGGTATCTTCACCTGAGGCCAATAGGTTACGTTTGTTGAGTTTCCTGGGAAGTGATGAAAGGACAGCATTGTAAGTGGGGGATAAGTGGTGGCGTAGACCCCTCCCCTGTTCAATGACGGCTTCTCCACCCTGGTGTAGATGCTTCCTTGACACCTCTTTCAAACCATCCATCTTCTCTGTCTAAAATGTGCACCTGGTGGTCCTCAAACGAGTGTCCTCTGTCCTTCAGATGTAAGTAGACTGCAGAGTCTTGACCTGAGGAGTTGGCCCTTCTGTGTTGAGCCATGCGTTTGTGTCGTGGTTGTTTAGTCTCCCCAAGATACAGGTCTGTGCATTCCTCACTGCAAATGATCAGCAGAATTCTTTCACAGTCATATAGTTGTTCGAATGTGAGTCCTCGCCGGATTCCGGGCACCGTGTTTCCCTACACTTGTTTTATAATTTTTCCCAAGTCATTCGCCCAAACTGTGTCAATCAAACTTTGATATGCGTGTAAGGCGTACCCCAGACAGTGTGGTGTCTGACGATTAATAAATTGATAATTCAGAAAATCAAATTATTTTTGGCTGACAGACATACGGTACCACATGCACCAATCCATTAGTATGTGGAAAGACGGCAACTACCATTTACGGGTTCATTTAGCAGTACTTATGATCCCACTATATATATATATATATATATACATACATACATACACACACACACACACACACACACACACACACACACACACACAGTGGGTACGGAAAGTATTCAGACCCCTTTAAATTTTTCACTCTTTGTTTCATTGCAGCCATTTTCCAAAAGTCAAAAAAGTTCATTTTATTTCTCAGTAATGTACACTCAGCACCCCATCTTGACAGAAAAAAAACAGAAATGTAGAAATTTTTGCAAATTTATTAAAAAAGAAAAACTGAAATATCACATGGTCATAAGTATTCAGACCCTTTGCTCAGTATTTAGTAGAAGCACCCTTGATCTAATACAGCCATGAGTCGTTTTGGGAAAGATGCAACAAGTTTTTCACATCTGGATTTGGGTATCCTCTGCCATTCCTCCTTGCAGATCCTCTCCAGTTCTGTCAGGTTGGATGGTAAACGTTGGTGGACAGCCATTTTCAGGTCTCTCCAGAGATGCTCAATTGGGTTTAAGTCAGGGCTCTGGCTGGGCCATTCAAGAACAGCCACGGAGTTGTTGTGAAGCCACTCCTTCGTTATTTTAGCGGTGCGCTTAGGGTCATTGTCTTGTTGGAAGGTAAACCTTCGGCCCAGTCTGAGGTCCAGAGCACTCTGGAAAAGGTTTTCGTCCAGGATATCCCTGTACTTGGCCGCATTCATCTTTCCCTCGATTGCAACCAGTCGTCCTGTCCCTGCAGCTGAAAAACACCCCCACAGCATGATGCTGCCACCACCATGCTTCACTGTTGAGACTGTATTGGACAGGTGATGAGCAGTGCCTGCTTTTCTCCACACATACCGCTTAGAATTAAGGCCAAAAAGTTCTATCTTGGTCTCATCAGACCAGAGGATCTTATTTATCACCATCTTGGAGTCCTTCAGGTGTTTTTTAGCAAACTCCATGCGGGCTTTCATGTGTCTTGCACTGAGGAGAGGCTTCCGTCGGGCCACTCTGCCATAAAGCCCCGACTGGTGGATTGCTGCAGTGATGGTTGACTTACTACAACTTTCTCCCATCTCCCGACTGCATCTCTGGAGCTCAGCCACAGTGACCTTTGGGTTCTTCTTTACCTCTCTCACCAAGGCTCTTCTCCCCCGATAGCTCAGTTTGGCGGACGGCCAGCTCTAGGAAGGGTTCTGGTCGTCCCAAACGTCTTCCATTTGAGGATTATGGAGGCCACTGTGCTCTTAGGAACCTTAAGTGCAGCAGAAATTTTTTTGTAACCTTGGCCAGATCTGTGCCTTGCCACAATTCTGTCTCTGAGCTCTTCAGGCAGTTCCTTTGACCTCATGATTCTCATTTGCTCTGACATGCACTGTGAGCTGTAAGGTCTTATATAGACAGGTGTGTGGCTTTCCTAATCAAGTCCAATCAGTATAATCAAACACAGCTGGACTCAAATGAAGGTGTAGAACCATCTCAAGGATGATCAGAAGAAATAGACAGCACCTGAGTTAAATATGAGTGTCACGGCAAAGGGTCTGAATACTTATGACCATGTGATATTTCAGTTTTTCTTTTTTAATAAATTTGTTTTACATTTCTGTTTTTTTCTGTCAAGATGGGGTGCTGAGTGTACATTACTGAGAAATAAAATGAACTTTTTTGATTTTTGGAAAATGGCTGCAATGAAACAAAGAGTGACAAATTTAAAGGGGTCTGAATACTTTCTGTACCCACTGTATATGCAAGGATCTGGATGCTTCTTCCACTGCTTTATGAAATAAGAAACAGAGTCCAGTGTTTTTGTACAGCTTTTATTCTTTAAACAGATCAAACTGCTTTGGCAAAATAGTTTTTCACTTTGTTTTTAACAGTCATGCCCATAAAGCTTTTTGGAACTGGGACAGAGCGACAGTCAGAAGGTTTCTGCAGCTACCGCTGTGATAATAACAATAAAATAACAACAATAATAATAATAATGATCTACAAACAGCTGAGACAGCATAAAGCACTATATTCCCACTATATACAAATAAATCAGTGACACTCAAGCTTCATCACAAAATATCATCACCAAGAATCAGTATTTCTCCTTCTGGTCCAAACATCTGAATAATTCTGGCTTCCCTCCTGCTCCCAGTCTTTATGCTAAGCTAGGCTAACCATGTCCCGGCTCCGTACCACACAGACATATAAGCTTGATCTCCAGCTGAACGTCTGGTGACTTAATGTGTCCAGTGTTTTCATGCAGAGCGCACAGAAGTTAAATATCACAACACATTCAGGCCGCTGGTCACGAAGGCGTCGCACCAAACAGAGACAACTATCAGCTGCTTTTACAGAAGGCCACAAAATAGAAATACTAACTGAAATAAACGGATTCAACTCTTTGTTTGTGGAAGAAATACGAACCTCAAAGACTGCACGTGCACTTCAACTCAGCAAAAGTCCAATTTGTGGTGGAGTTACAGTTTAAGCATGGATTAAAATTACCTCGCAGAAATCGTTTTCTTCTTAAATTTGCTTTTAACCCAGCGGGACCCGCAGCATTCCTTCATAACGCTGCCGTGATCTCAGATTTATGGTAACCTCCAGTCTCACCGTGTTCAGTGTTTTCCAGGAGGGTCTTTTGGTGTTCGGCCCTGATAGAGGTCAATTTAATCCTCCAGCTGCAGAGGAATTATGTGAACACTGCAGCTCGAGTCAGAAATGAACGTCCATTTTGTTTTGGCTTCATCTGATGTTGTTTGCATTTGTCACGGCTGCCAGAAACGGTGACTCAACGTGTGTGATGTTGAGCAGAAAGAAATCTGTTCCAGTCAGAACCATAATACCACACGAGCGTCGTCAGCAGAGGGAGTTTGCACATGGATTTGTTTCTGAGCACTTAGCAAACTCCATCTGCAGAAGAAGACCGTGTGGTAAGGTTGAAAAGTCCAGAACAGATGGACCTCGGTCATCCGGTTCTGTTAATGAGCAAATGAAGTTATTTCTGGAAATCAGCTTACTTAACTGTTACAGCTGCAAACATCTCATCCTGCAGACAAAGCTCTGATTGGCTTGTGTGTTTTAGTAACTGGGGAAAAGGCCGTCAGTGAACACAACACCAGACCTGTGTGGGAGGTGGTTCTGAGATCTGGAACCAGGTCATTAAAAAGAGCCGCAGACGCGAAAATAGGGAACAATACTGAAACGTTCTCAAGCTTGAAACACCTCGAAACAAACAGCTCGTGCATGTGATTGTGCATGTGTCTGAGAATGGAGTGTGTGCGTGCAAAAATGTGTCTGTCTTGGAAATATGTACAAAAATATATGTTCTCACGCTATGATCCGAAGATTCACAACATCACCAAAGTGAAAGGAAAGTTTAAAAGTAGACATTTTCGTATCACGTCCGCAGCTGCTACACCCAAACCTTTTGTCTTTCTGTCTTTGGAAGTTCCCGAAAATGAAATGAGAAGTGAAGGCATCACGGTGACCTTGAGTTAGTCGTCGTCTGTTCGTCGATCGGACCACAAATGTCTCCCGCCCGCTGTCAGAGCGCCTAACCTGGGTTCACAGGGTTAGAGGAGCCCCTCAGGACTTCCATGACTGCCTCCACAGCACAAACACAATAAGATATCACAGACAGTAGTAGCAGTGGGGTTCAGACAATGATCAAGGACACTTGACAGGAGCAAAGGCTTTCCATTGGTTGCAGAAAATCAGGGCCTCGGTGCCTATGACCTATGATATGAACTCATTGGGAGTTATCTGCAGGGACGATTCGATGCCTGTTTAGCTTCTGGAAACAGGAAAACTGTCTGACTACACTGGTCCACTACCCTGCTCCAGGTTTTCCGTATGTCCATTTGATTAAACACGTTTGTTTTAGGGGAAGCACTTTGTGACAAAAGTCCTTGACCCCCCGTTAGAGTTACCAGCTTCAGCCTGTGGTGGCTTCACTGATGGGTGTAAGCAGCAGGTTTCTGGGTGTCATCACTAACTAAGGTCCAATCTCTCTCTTAGTCTACTTGGACTTGATGAACTAGGGGCCCTGGTCTTGGAGACCGGGACAAACCGTTGAAGCCAACAGGTGGTTTGTCTCATCCTCGAACCGCCTCATCTTCCAGCTCAAGGTTCCTCCAGTTAGAGGGAGCAGATGGGACCCGTTTGATCAGTGATCTTTTTCCTTCTGCTGCCTTCAACACACTCAAATCATTTGGAGACACAATGTGGCTACAAAGCATTGGGGATCTGAAGGCCACAGCGCCCAGGTCACAGGAAGGTGCTGTGGGTGAAAACGTCCTCCAACTGGCACATGAAGGTTCTTTGTTCAGCCTGGTGAGAAGCCGTCTTCTTCTGAGATCTGGATCTCCACGTAGGGTGCCAGGTTTTGGGATTTGGATGTGAGCTGGACTAAAAGTCATAATCCCATCCGGAGTTGTCGTCTGGCGGCGGCTCGTCTGTGTCTTCAGGGAAACTGTCGAAGTTGCTGGTGTCGGTCTGAGAGGAAACCTGAAGAGAACAACATTTTTTGTGGCGCTGTTAGAGTCGACAGGAGATGAGAAGACAGAAAGACGTGCAACAACAGACTCAAGCTGGGTTTGTGGCAGAAATACTTACTGAAGTTAACTTCATTTGCTGGATTAGTCCAAACACATATTCTGGTTTGTTGTTCTACCGTTAAACTGTTTCCAATTATGTGTCTCTAAGTTATGTTACAAAATAATCTGAGCTCAAAGGCCAACTTATGAGCTAATGTCATGGTCTCATGGAGCTGGCTCAGAAGTCATCATGTAGTCTTCAAATAGACAGAGCAGGAGGTTATATATGGGGGTGAGATCGTAACCCGTCTTTGTGCAATTTCTCTTTTGGTAATGGCCAGCTTCTCAATTGAGTTACCAGAAAATGTACAATTTCACGATATATAAATACTGCAGTATACACCGATCAGCCAGAACATTATGACCACTTGCTTCTTTTCCACCAAAGCAGCCCTGACCCGTCGAGGCCTGGACTCCACTGTGGGATGCTCTGTGCGTTCTGACACCGTCAGAACCTGCATCATCTTCTTCAGCAGTTTGACCCACAGCAGCTCGTCTGTTGGATCGGACCACACGCCCAGTCGTCTGGCCATCACATCCTTGTCAAAGTCATTCAAATCCTCACGCTGCCTGTTTTTTCCTGCTTCTAACACTTCGACTCAGAGGACACAATGTTCACCTGCTGCCTGATGCATGACCGGTGACATGATAACCAGATTCACTTCACCTGTCAGTGGTCACGATGTTACGGCTGATCGGTTGAACATACAGTGGCGACGGTTACTCCACATCACCTGGTTGGCTTGGTGTGTTTCCGTACATTAACAGTGCCTTCATCAGTCTAACATGAGTTTGTTGTCTTAGAGGAAAGAATCTAGAGTTTATTTCAACTCACGTCAGGTGTGATGGGCGGAGTCAGAGTTCCTTTCCTCAGCCCGTCCCAGTTAAAACCTTCAAACCACCTGAACACGGAGAGAAACACGTTAGTTTCATCTTGTATTTAAACCAAACTGAAAGTCAGCTTCCTCCCAACTCACGCACTTGTGCTTCTGGATGTCTTTGACTCCGTTCTTCAGGTTTCCCAGTCTCTCGGAGGGATTATCTCTGGAGACACAAACGGTTCACATATTTATTTTGGAGATGAAAACAATGAGTTCATCTGAGTTGCCCGGGCACACGGCGCCTCCTACCTGCAGAGCTTCTTGATAAGGTTAGCGGCGTTCTTGGTGATCTTCTTGGGGAACTCGATCATGTCGATGCCTCTCAGGATGATGTTGTAGGTTTTCATTGGATCTGGACCTGAGAACGGGGGACTGGAGACAAACAGAGACGCTTCAGGACGCTGAACAACAGCCGTTTGACTCTACTGAACTCTGTCCCTCCCGTTTGTGTCCTCACCTGCCGGTCAGCAGCTCGTACATCAGGATGCCCAGAGACCAGTAGTCTGCTGAGACATCATGACCCTTGTTGAGGATGATCTCTGGAGCGACGTACTCCGGCGTCCCGCAGAACGTCCACGTCTTCTTGCAAACGCCGATCTTCTTGGCGAAACCAAAGTCCACCTGGAAAAGACAAAATTAATTGAACACATTCACTTTCTTTTTATTGTTCTTCGTTTTGATCATGTAAAACTGTCATTGGTCACTGCCACTCAAGCTCGCCCTCCTGAGGATGAACTACGGTACTGACTCCAACATCGTCAGCTACTTTTAGTTTAGAATATAACTGTAATGTAAAATACTGAAGCGATCAGCTGACATGATAGGGGCCTTCAGGGGTCCTGATTCATATCCTGAGGCCTTGTCTTGAACAGGCTCCCTATGAAGCAGGAACCTCCGGCTCTGAAAAGTGAGGCCAAGTGAGGCCAGCAGACGTCACTTGTGAAGAGCGACGTTTGAGTGGGGGCGACTCCACTGGCTGCAGAAAGAAGTGTGACTGTGTGGGGTGGCGATGGTACAGTGGATAGGACACATGCACTTGGTGTTAGAGACCCAGGTTTGATTGATTCCCACTGTGACACCTCCACCAATGTGTCCCTGAGCAAGACACTTAAGCCCTAGCAGCTCCAGAGGCGTGCGACCTCTGATTTATATAGCAACTGTAAGTCGCATTGGGTAAAAGCGTCAGCTAAATGAACAAATGTTAATGTACTGTAAGAGAGAGAGAAAATGTTTCTGCTTCTCAGCTGATTTATTCCCTCAGTAAACATTTTCCTGATGAGTTTCTGGTCTCAGTCGCTAGTTTCAAGTCTTCTTCAACACAGCATGATGTTCATTTAGTAAATTATGGTCCCAAGCAGAGTATGCCAGGTGCAACTACTGTGTGTTCACCACACAGCAAACTTGAACATGGTACAGGTTGGGAGGACCAGGATCCATCGCCATCATCAAACTGAGACTGCATGGCAATGTTTAACGGCCAACTGCCAATGTCTGTTGTTGTGACGTCTGACTGCCAACTGTATGGTACAGTATATCCTACCCGTGAAGCTGGTTATGTACTGCTACTGACATATTAAGTTATCATCTAAAGGCCCCATCGTGTTGCTTCCCGTACTTGTTGGACATGTAAATATATAACATGTATGTTATGAGGGAGTGTGGAATTACCAGCTTGGCGTATCCCCGGCTGTCCAGTATGAGGTTTTCAGGTTTCAGGTCTCTGTAAATGATGCCTTTGGCGTGCAGGTAGGCGAACGCTTCGACCACACAGGCCGTGTAGAACCTGGTGGTCGCATCTTCAAACGAACCCCTGAAATACAGAGTTTAAGATCTCAGAGGTGTTTCTGGCCCTCGGCCGGACTTCTGTTTTTACCCCTTTAGGTTTCACGTTTGTCGAACTAAATTTTTTACCTTCTGTTATCCACCATGTCGGCAAACACTGACTGCTGCTAAAATAACTGTTTTAATCTGCTGATTCGTGTATGTTGAATCTGAAGTGACGTCTTCAGATGTCTCGTTGTGTCCGAAACAGAGATGTTCACAACCTGAGACACCTGAGCAGCTGACGCCAGAGAAAATGTGAGTTTAAATGATCAACCAATTATCAAAATGTCTTCTGTCGTTTTTCGACTAATCGATAAATTTACTCTTCTGGTCAAAAACTAAACATTTCCATTTATTTAAGCGTCAGAAAGTGACCGACCTGAACTCTTTCCTTCTCTGATATTCATTCTGGTCTTTAGGAAACATCCCGGCAGTGGATTGATCTGTGTGAGATGTGTACCTGTCCCTCAGTATCGTCCACAGCTCTCCTCCCAGACAGGCCTCCATCAGCATGTACAGATATTTACTGTCTTTAAACGTCCGGTACAACCTGAACACAAACAGTAAAGCTGCATCAGGACCTGAGACAGAACCTGTTTGATGGTTTTATTTTGTTAATCTGCCAGATTGGAACCAACACTGCTGACTTTCTCTGGATTTGTAAACTTACTTTTAAACTTCATGAAAGTTTATTTTTTACCATTTGAAATGATGTACAGCTATAAATAGTCTACGTTAATGCCGTGTTTAGGTCGTGTGAGCAAACTGAGAAATGAAGGGTGGAGCTTGAGATCAGAGGTTTTGTCAAACTTCATGAATGACGTAAGTTATAATAAAACATTTTTTATTATAACTTACGTCAAAACACAAAAGATAATGTTCACTTTTTTCCCCAGCTGCTAATAATGTTTAATTCTGAGACAGAAAATCAATGAGTTCAATATAAAATAGCTTCAGTTATGATGATGGTTCTACTGACCTGACGATGAAGTCGGAGTGCGCCTCGGTCATGATGTGTTTCTCCGAGCGGATGTGTTCCTGTTGTCTCGTGTCGACGATGTGACGCTTCTTCAGGATCTTCATGGCGAACGTCTTCGCCTCCTCGTTCTTCAGCTGCACCTGAAGAAGAACATCCAGTCATTCCTCTGCTTTCCTTCCTGTCACTCAAACCAGCAGTGACCGTCTCAGCCTGATGCCTCCTCTTCCTCTGAGCCGTAGGATAATAATAATAAAACGACTAAACAAAGGAGGTTCACAATACAACAACAGGGATTCAGTGTTGTGCTGATCATAACAGAAGAACAGCAGAGTGATTTAACTTTTTAAAATCCTGGTGGACGACGTTTCCAAAGTATTTAGGAGATGGACTGTTTTCCCACCCTTACATCTACTTTAAATAACCGCATGTTAACGAGGTAATTATATGTTACATCGTTACTCTCAAAACCCCCAAAATACATCGTCATCCAGCTGAAAACATTTGGAAATATTCACGGTGTTTACTGGTCAGCTGAAAACGGTCTGTGGTTAAACACACACACTGTGACGTTAATACAGCATGATGCAATCCTCTATTTCTGGACGCCACTGGATTCCACTCTCATGTTTGTACGCTAAATTTGGAGCTACCCAGCAGCTGGTTAGCGTAGCTTAGCATAAAGACTGAAAGCGGGGGGAAACCGCTAGCCTGGCTCTCTCTGAAGGAAACACAATCCAGCTTCCAGCTCCCGTAAAGCTCCCTGATCAACAGGTCAAACCTGGATTGTTTACAAAAACTGAACTTGGCACGGTGTGGTTTTATGGGGTCACTTCCTCACAGTGATGATACGACTACGTGTCATTTTTAAATTTGGTGTTTATACAGAAGATGTAAAGTGAGCTGCAGAGGACCAGAAACTAAACCACAACCAGGTTCCTGTGATGAAATGTAAAGATCTCGTTGTTATCGTATCCAGCTGTCCAAAAATAAGAGAGATGAGGAATGTCGCTGCTCTGATGGAAAATATCTGCATGTTCGTGGTCAGCCAGTCTGCAGGTCAGGGGTCAGGTTTTTCCTTTGGGCAGAGTTACACTCTGACTAATTGCCTAAAATACCTCCAGGGGGATGATGGGAGACCCTGAGCGGGGATTCCTTCCTGTTTTTGGGCAGACCCTCTGCAGGGCTTCCCCTCCAACCTTCAGTACCCTGACACCCCGCCTCCCGCGGCACAGAAACCAGACCCCCAGATCTGCAATGCACCACATCCCACCCTTCTCTTCTTTTTCCATCCATCTCACACCTTAACACACGGCGGGGATTAATACAGCCTCACAAAGCCAATAAAAACCAATCAGCTGCAGCCGAGACGAAGGAAGCTCGTTAAGACACGATAAACTGGTTAAAGAGGTTTAATAGCTGAGTTACAGCATGAAAGAAGAGATACACACTGTGTGGTTCTCTGGTTTATTGTGCTTCCTGACAGAACCAGGGGGAACCCTTTAAGAGCCCTGGTCAGCCTCTGCGGTCAGAATCACATGAGGACGGGTTTCCAGTTACCAGCACTGATACTTTACAGCCCACACACACACACACACACACACACACACACACACACACACACACACACACTGTTTCTGGAGAGTAAACCAGAAACATCCAACTGGCTGCAGACGCACCTGAAACTGGTTTCACAGTAATCCACAACATGGACGCTCAGAGTGTTTAACCACATTAACACTGATTTGTAACGTAGCAGTAACTAAAGGCCTGTTGGTGTAATCTAACGGTCTGTGACCTGATATTGTATAAAGTAATCAGATCGTACCAGCTCGACGCGTCCGAAGCCGCCCACTCCCAGCGTGTCGATGATGTTGAAGTCGTCCAGCTTCAGACTGGAGAAGAAGGCGTTCTCCGCCTCGTATCTGGAAATAAAAACCACAGGGACACTGTAAACATTTCGAAGGTGAAGCACATTTAGATCGAGCAGCAGAGCCGGTATCTCAACATTAAACCCACCCAACCTTCCTACAGAAGGAAACACAGGCGACGGCCCCCCTCCCGTCGTACTCTACCTGCAGCATTTGACCACGTGGAAGAACGGGAATTTCTTGGAGGTTTGAATGGAGAAGGAGGTGATGGGGAAGGAGGAGGAGGACGTAGGAGCAGGGAGGCTGGTGATCCGCTCTCTCTGCTGCCTCGCCGGGACGGGAAGCAACTCTCTCATCTCCAAACTTTGTTTAGTCCACGAGTACGAGAGCTGGAAAACTGCTTTTCTTTTCTCGGCTTCGGCGGTCTCTTGTCTGCTTTATCGGCAAAGAATATAATGTAGGAATACGGGAACAGAACTCTGAGCAGTCGTGTAGGACAAAACTGCTGCAGAAACAAATAACTGAAAGTCTACAGCTGATCTCGGCGGTCTAGTTCTTTGTTCTGCAGATAAAAACATCAATCAAGTCGTCCAGTCCCTCAAAATTTGGAACAAAGTCTCTTGGTCAGAAACCAAAGTGCAAAAGTGCAAACAAACTCTTCAGCATCAGACCCAGACTGGTCCTCATGAGAACGTTCGGCAGAGAGTCTGTAAGAGAGCCGTTTCAAAGGAAGAGCTCCATCTCCAGTTTACATGGCGAGGGTAGGGGCGGCGGTGGCAGGGGCGGCGGTGGCGGTACCCATACGAGGTTCTGGCCTGGTGGAACCGGTGGTGCGGTGAGGTGGCCAGATCCTCCAGCTCTGTGTGCAGTAAAATTACAAACGAGGCTGGTCCTGAGCCGAGCGGGACGCCGTCACAATCCAGATCAGACGGCCTCACCAAACTTCTCTGTAGTCTTGATGGATTTTGGAGAATGTTCTGTTCTGATTCTGTCTTTGTTTGTGTGGAAGTTTGTGGGTGCCTGACTTGGAAAAAGTCCAACTGAGCACGCTCAAACTGAAACAGAGAAGTTCTGAAAGGTTCGTCTGCTCCGGCTGAGTCCTGCTGGGTGTAATGCCAAGCTGAGAGGACGACCGCAGGGCAGGACGCTGCTGCTGCTGGTATTTTTAGCACGTGGAAACATTACTCGGAGGTTCACCCAGTAAACGTAGTGACAGATAGATTGCAGGACAGACTGTCCCGACCTCCAAAGCAGAGGACACAGAACCTTCCAGAGGTTCACCAGGATGTTAAGAGTTTCCTTGGTTGGCTGTGAACATATCAGGATCTGTAGGTGTTAAAATGTTTCAAGTCATTCGTTTTAGTTTTAAGTTCTGTGAAATGTAAAGCTGAGGTGAACAGCATCTGCTGTGTCATCAGTTGAGTTTTCACAGCAGGACCGTCTGGTGTCCGGTAAAGGCCAGAAGCTCAACTTTACAAATACCAAACCCAGTCCAAGATCCAAATCAGACCGGTCCAGAATGTAAAGGGCCAACCCGTCTCCTGGAAATTGTGTTTTTATACTCTACACTTTTGAAAGTTTTCTGAGAGAAACGTAATGCCAGCGAGATTATGTTTCTCATCAACATAAAAAAGACCTTATGGATTTATTTAACTAAGTTTTGGAAACATTAGGACCTTCTATTGTGAAAGGATTTCTCTGTAAAACATTTATCAATAGTTAGATTTAGTATTAAATCCATGCTAGCAGGTACAACTCCGGACTACATCAGCTTACGTTAGCAGCTGGTGAACATAGTGCAGCATTTAGCAGCTAAAGAGCCAGATGTTTCCCTCAGGAACTGGTGGAGACCAAACACAGAGCTAACACAGAGCGAACACTGGACTCAGCTTCATCAGGTGACACAAACACGCCTCACCATGAAGCATCAGCTTGTAACTGGAGACTGTCCTCACCAGAAAAACGCCCATATAGCCCGTTTGTACAACCACATTATTACAACCCACGTTCATGTTTGTTGTGGTGGCGTCCTCTTGTTGCCGTGCAACGGCAGCAAAGAAGGATGACGGGTGAAAAATTATACACTGCGAGAAAGTCCGCCTACCAAGGCAGGATGGGTCAAACCCCGGAGTCCCGTGTGAAACCACGTAAGTTTTTAGTTAAAGGTTTAGGTTAAAGAACGTTACTGACTTCCATCACGTAGATCAGGTCTGGCTGCTTGTTGCTGGACTGGTGCAGGAAACGCTCATGTGTTGTTGGACGACCTACTTCATCGTTCAGGTCGGAGGGCTCGTTGTGTAACTTCCTGTTCGGTTGTTTATGAGGGAGAACCTGCGAGAGAGCTACCAGAAGATCTGTTTGGCGGTGTGTGGACAAAAACAAATACATCAGCATGGTATCTGAAAATAGTAAGGACCAGGACCAGAACCCTGCACAACACAACTGCTTTAGAAGCTGATAAGATCTCTAAGTTGTGTTTAGAGCTTTAAAATCTCGCGCATCATTTAACATTCAGCAGCTGTGTTAGCTAGCATTGTTTGATTTTAGCTCAGCTGCTCTCAGCCTCAACAGTTATACCCTCAAATTAGTTTCATGTTGGCACTCTTTCAGCATATAACATGACATGTGGTTAGTTTTTCTGTGGAGCAAACCTCCAATATGTCAGGTCAAAATAACATATGGACTCCTGCCAAAGTAATCCCAACAGACTTATCTGTGTGTGTGTGGTTCTCCAAACAGGGACTGGACTATTTCCCGGAAACTGTGGGATCCGATTTCTGCAGAAACAGTGGCTGCTGTTCGGTCAGGACGCTCCAACACACAAACACTCTAAAAATAGTTTGTAATAGTGAGAAAGCGTCGAACTGTTAGAGCTGTCCCGCCAACCTTCACCCTGCTGAAGTGTCAAAAAGCAAAACATGGACCCCTGCAGGACTCGGAGGCTTCAGCTACAGATTAAGAACATCAGACTGCATTTAACTTGAATCCATTCCCACAGTGAGGGAAACTTCATTTGACATGATTTAGATTTTTTGATGAGTAAAACGTTTTTAAACTGTTAAACACTGCCAGGAGTGATTCATGAAGGCTTAATGTTAAAGGGTGATATCTGTATTTTTATACCTGGGCTCTATTTTAACACATGTTGGTGTTGAAATGACTCGTAGGTACAGAAAGTTTTGAATCTGTGCAGTCGATGCTGAAGCCTCAGTTTGCAGGACGACGGCGGTGGAAACGAGGGGTTGGAGTTTGTTGTGTTCGTAGAGGAGCTGCTACAAGACTTTATTTCCTAACGTTACTGCAACACGACAAACTGCTCTCTGCTTCATGTTCCTCCGTCCTCCCCAGCGTCCTTCAGGGCGACCTGGCTGCGACCTCTCTGGCTGCAGCAGGTATTATTAGCAAATGTTACGTAACAGGAGTCCTGTTGCTGCTGTAAACACTCGCACACACAAACACACAGAGGAGGCTTCTCTTAACTTCTGTAGAAGGGTCCTGCAGACGGGTGAAGCACCACCGTCACTGTTCGGTCTGTCGTGGCTCTATTGTTTTCTGTTTTGTCAGCATCTATTAACCGGCTGATTGTTTGCTCGATTCAGCGTTGGTGTGTTCCTTTAACTTGACCAGAACATGAAGGTTCTCAGTTTACTGTCGTTTATGACAAAGAAAAGCTGCTGGAGAAGCTGGAAACAGAAAAGTTTCACAAGTTTGCTTCAAAAGTTGGATTATCGGGTCGACCTGATGGCTGAGCAGCGAGTCCCCGGTTTGATTCCCCCGTTGGCCGGACTGTTTGCTTCCTGTCATTCCCCAGCTCTCTCTCCCCACATCTCCTCTCTCTCTTCACGGTCCCACAGATAACATTCCCTCCAGTAAAAGTTTGATTATGAAAATATTTGCAGATACATTTTCTGCTGATGAATGAATCGCCCAGTCGCTTCCATGTTCCCTCTGTGATGCAGCTGTAAATACAAAGTCTGCTGCTGAAGGAATGTGCTCGTTCTGACAAAAAGAAAATATGTTCTGAGAAGCTGATATTAAGAGAAAGGACGTATATAACCTGTAAATATCGAACACGTGTCATATGTGTACATTAAACCTACTTGGCTTTGGCTTCAGCGTCTTCGTATCCTTTATTTGAAACGTCGTCTAATCCACCAATCAGATGCTTGAATGAGCTGAGGAGGAAGAAAGAGGTCAGCCAATCAGCACACAGACTGTCTGTGAGAGAATCTAGTTCATTAATAGTGCCTGTAAATAAAACAGAACATTATTACAGATCAAACACACTTTTTGCAAATAAAATAAAAAGCATTTATCTCTCTAAACAATAATAATAACAACATATTTATTGTCGCTTTGCCCATGTTTTTTGGTTCTGGCCTTGTAAGAGACGGTTTATCTTTTCTTTTTCGTTTCTTTTCTTGGAGTCCGGTAGATCAGGTTAAAACTCTGAGCAAAGACTCACCTCTTTTGTTGTTGGTGTTTGTAAATCTTAGTTACCTTCGACCTGTCGATGCCATATTTAACTGTATTTTACAGAATCCATCTGGTTTCATGTTGCCCCCCTTTTCTCTTGACAACGCACTGAAGGATCACATGACATTACAGCACAGTGACGGTGCAGTGAGCTGAGCGGACCAGCAGAGAGCAGCAGCAGCTTCTCCTGCTGCAGTGACCTTCTGTTAATTGGACTTTTTACATCGTTGCCTACTTTAACTGAAGTGTTCTAATGCAAACATAAAGACTGTGTGTGTGAGTGAGAGTCTTACTCTCTGTCGATGACCAGGCAGGTGACGGCCTCGGCGGCGATGACGTTGGCTGTCCTGACATCCTCCCTGTGGACACACACACAAACACACGCAGATTACTCACATGTCTGCACTTCTGAACGTGCGAGGACACATTTAGCTCCTGATTCTCTTTAAAAAACATAATTTGAGAACTTATCTAACTCAGCAGAAGTAAACACTTCACCCGGTCATAAGCACAGACGCAGATGGCCATCACAAGCAACTCTGGGTGTCCCTCAAGGCTCAGGAGCCGGGGATTGAACGACCAACCACACTCGTCAACACACCAGCTCAGCCAAGAAGAGAGGATGAGACAAATCAAATCCATCTCCAAACTGTTCCTTCAGAAAACGGTCCTCACGTTGCACCAACGCCCTCGCTGTCAGGGTCTAAACTCTGCTAATCTCCTCTCTAAAGACCTGAACCCTGAACCCTGAACACTCCCAGACTCTGCTCAGGTCACCTGGTAAGTGCTTAAGTGCGAGAGGTTGCAAGGGCACGAAATGGTTTAATGGGGCAGCGCTGCACTGTGTGACTTTTCACGGTACCTTGACTACATCTGAACAAATGTGGGTTTGGGACTTTTTATTTTACATTTGTTACTTTTTTGTATTAGTATTAGATTAAGTAATCTTTAGTCTTTACTTTTCTATATTTATATTTGTATGTTTATGTGTACTGCTAAGCATCAGTATATTCCAAGGCAAATTCCTCGTAAGTGAAAATGTACCTGACAATAAGCCTGATTCTGATTCTAGTTCCGAATACTTCACAGCCGAGGCTCTGAAGGGGCCGGCTGTCTGATCTGAACGTGTTCCAGGATCTTGAAATGAGCTGTGGGCCAGAGGTCATTTTCAAATAATCAGTTCAATCATTTTTAGCAAACCAGTTGGTCCTTCTATGTTTGTTTACCCACAGGCTTCCCCCTGCAACCCCGTATTTAACATCACAACGCCATGAACTGTGGGTAATTCACTCAGGCAAAGTCTGCAGAGATGCAGACTCACAGAGAGCCCTCATGCACCTGACGATGTGACAGTAAAAGAGCTCCCCCCTGAGGAAACACTGAAACATACTTCAATCCAATCAGCAGCAGCAGCAGCAGCAGCAACTGTGACGACAGCAGGAGGTCAGTAAACAAGCCACAGTATCATCACATGATCACACGGAGAGCTACGTGAAATAATAGGCTGCAGGACAGACGGCGAGCCGGCCTTCTTTCTGTTGGGCTAGTCAGTAATGTTGCTTTCTTGATGTTAATTTGTTGTTTGATCATAATGTGCTCATAACTAAAGCAGGTGTGCAGCTGTCCTTATCTGCCACAGCTCTGAACTACAATCTGAAACAGTAGAGGCGCCAAATCATAATGTTGCGTTAAAGCCAAGATTTCAGTCCTTAAAACACAAACCCCCTTACTGTACATCTCTCAACTGGAACCTGGACTAAAATGTTGTCCTGCTGGTGGCGCTAGAGGAGAGGTCAGAAGGTCACCCTCTGTGGACCATGAACACCTCATGTAAATCTGTCCATTAGTGGGATTAGTTACATGTTGCACTGACAAACTCACCCAAACACACCTTTTTAAATGCGTGTCTCTAGGTGTGTTTGTGTGTCCTGTAGTTATTCAGGTCGACGGTCGGCACGTCTCAGCTCTTAATAACACCAGATCTCAGCACAGGAAATGAAGCAGTTTATTAAAGGTCTGAAGGCCGCTGGTCGGTTTGTGTTTTGTCTAGGGATGAAGGAAGCAACATATCACCAGGCAAGTTCCATCTTAGTTACACACATTTCTTTAAAGGTCGAGCAACATGTAGCGCATGGGAAAACAAAAGAGGTAAGAAAAGGAGAGGCAGGGGGAAGGGCAGGCGGTGGTGCCAAATCAACAAACAAACAAACAAAAGAACCGAACCTTTCTAGCCGCCCGGCCTCTGTCACTTTAATAACCACGAAGTCCAAAAAGAAAACATAAATCAAAACCCTATCTTCATGTGATGACCTTGCCTGCAAAACCAAACTACCATGTAACAGCCACCCATAATGTCAGTCAGAATAAATAATCAGAACTAGGGTTGGTGCTGAAAATAAAAGATGTGGAAAACAAATATACTAACCCAAGCCTAGTTCCCACAACTACTGAACGAATAATGTAATGTGTATTAAAACTAAGTTAACAGTATCTACAGACAGTCATGACACGAGGTAATCCCCCCTGGGATGACGTTAAAGAAATGCAACTCCCACACAATTCATAATACATAGAACCTAACCCCGCCGACCGTAACAGCGTATTTTAATCATGTGTTCACACAGAAACGGTCATACTCGATGTTTCATGTCTCTGTTTAGATTTGAGTGATGACTTTGAGATGTATGACACAAAATGCAGCAATTCCTGACTTCGTAAGGGTTTTAAAGAACCTTAAACATCCCTCCATGAGCTGCAGCTCCACCTGCTGAAGGTGGTGAGCAGCTAAACTACTCACTTCCTGTTGTTTTAGGACACCTGTGTGCACCTGTCCCAGTCACCTCGCACAGTGCCTCACGTCCTGCAGCTTTATATAAGTTATATCAGTTCATGTGCTTTTTGAGAAGAGATGGTATTATGAAAACCAGACCCAAAAACATCTAATACTGTGTGTGTGTGCTTAACATGATTGTGCATGATGGTGGGTCAGTGCTGGCTGACGCCCCTGAGGTTTTAAATAGCAGCAGGTGGAAACATGTATGAGACTTTGATTCTTTTGTGGAGAATTGACTGAAAAGAAGCACTCATGCACATGTGAGTAACGGGTGCTAAAAGCCTGGAAGCACCAAACTGACGTGTGTTAAAACATATAGCTGTAACAGCGGCTTAGCAGGGAAACAAATCAATCCCTGTCCTCACGAGTCCAGCCAGACCACCGTGCATGGAGACATTAAAGGTGTTCAGCTGTTACCAGGTCAGACTGGTCGTTCCTCTCACCAACGTCCGGCAGCTTCTGGTTCATCTCTCTTTTTTTCTCTTCTTAAATTTCTCCTTCAATGTCCTCTGTCTCTGCTGTTAGCTAACGTTACATCCATAGAGGCTGCTGATCCCGGTTACGTTGCCTGCTTGCTGACTTCGGCTCAACACCAGCAGCATTCTCCAACCAGCAGTAGCATAATGTTGCTTGAAACTTGAGTGGCGAACTAGCCAACAAAGCTAGCAACCGACGCAGGAGTACTAACAGCAAAGTTACCAATGTCCAAGTGTGTTAGCTAGTAAGTTTGCTAATAGCAACTTTAGATTTATAGCTAGCAGCAAGTGACCGAGCATCATTACATAACTTTTCTACCATAAAATAACTGCTGGTTCAGTTTGTTTTTTTGGGGGACAGGGATGATGGTGGAGGCTTTGAAGCAGGCTGGCACATGGCATGTCTCCAGTGAGGTGTTAAAACAAAAACAGCTGAGCGGCACAATGCTTCAGGGTGGATGGGGAGACCGGGAGTCCGGCCCAGTTGCTTTGTGGGGGCTCTGCCTGAAGCTCTGTTGAGGCACACCTCTCTGGAGACATGCCATGTGCAAGTCTCCTTCAAATCAAAGACGAAAAACAAAGACGACAGGGCCCGTCGCCCTTTTGAGCACCTTCTGTTGTCCCACCTAAAATCCACTACAGACCCACTCACAGAAGATGCAGTAAATATGGCCCTTCACTTCCAGCACCTGGACTCCCCAGGAACCTACGCCAGGATCCTGTTTGTGGATTTCAGCTCTGCTTTCAACATCATCATCCCAGCTCTGCTGCAGGAAAAGCTGTCCTAGCTGAGCGTGCCTGACTGGTGGATCACAGACTTCTTGACGGACAGGAAGCAGCACATGAAGCTGGGAAAACATGTCTCTGATTCCAGGACCATCAGCACCGGATCCCCTCAGGGCTGCTTTCTTTCCCCTCTGCTCTTCTCATTGTACACCAACAGCTGCACCTCCAGTCACCAGTCTGTCAAGCTCCTGAAGTTTGCAGATGACACCACCCTCATTGGGCTCATCTCAGGTGGGGACGAGTCCGCCTACAGGTGGGAGATCGACCATCTGGTGACCTGGTGCGGCCAGAACAGTCTGGAGCTCAACGCTCAGAAGACAGTGGAGATGGTCGTGGACTTCAGGAAGAGCCCAGCCCCACCCTCCCCCCATCATCCTGTGTGACTCCCCAGTCACCACTGTGGACTCCTTCCGCTTCCTGGGCACCATCATCTCCCAGGACCTCAAGTGGGAGCTGAACATCACCTCCCTCACCAAGAAGACCCAGCAGAGGATGTACTTCCTGCGGCAGCTGAAGAAGTTCAGCCTGCCAAAGACAATGATGGTGCACTTCTACACCGCCATCATTGAGTCCATCCTCACCTCCTTCATCACCATCTGGTTCCCTGCTGCCACTGTCAGGGACAAGGGCAGGCTGCAGCGCATCATTCGCTCTGCAGAGAAGCTGATTGGCTGCAATCTATCACCCAACTATGCCTCCAGGACCTCTACCCCTCCCACCCTGAACACAAACTGTTTCAGATACTCCCCTCCGACCAAAACCTCACACCACAAGAACACTTCTTCCCATCTGCAGCTGGCCTCATCAACAAGGTCCAGGACCTCCACTGACACCGACTCTCACACTCCCCTGACCATACAGAACAGTATTATTCTTCACCTGCAGTACTTGTTTTACCTTTTTATATTTTCTATGTTTTTTATTATGCACCAAGATACCAAAGCAAATTCCATGCATGTATATGTCAAACCTACATGGCAATAAAGCTGATTCAGATACAACAATATAGACTTGGTGTGCAAAGGCCTTAAGGGTTCAGATTCAGAAGTATTGGGTTCAGGTTTAGAAGTGTAAGGTTAAGGTTTAGAAGTGTAGGGTTCAGGTTTAGAAGTGCAGGGTTCAGATTAAGAAGTGTAGGGTTCAAGTTTAGAAGTGCAGGGTTCAGATTCAGAAGTGTAGGGTTCAGGTTTAGAAGTGTAGGGTTCAGGTTTAGAAGTTGGGTTCAGGTTTAGAAGTGTAAGCTTCAGGTTTAGAAGTGTAAGCTTCAGGTTTAGAAGTGTAGGGTTCAGATTCAGAAGTGTAGGGTTCAGATTCAGAAGTGTAAGGTTCAGGTTTAGAAGTTGGGTTCAGGTCTCGGGGTCAGAGGTGACATGATCTTACCCCTGTAGCGCTCTCTCTCCAAACCAGTCTCCCCTGGTGAGCTCTCTGAGGTGTGTTGGCTCCTGATTGGCTGAGTCCTCCTGGGTCACGTTCACCTGACAGGAGATGTGATTAACAGTTATCAGCCGACGACCAGGATGAGTCAGCTGATCAATATGCAGTAATCAATATGAGTGAAGCGTTACCTTTCCCTTGCTGATGATGAAGAAGGTGTCTCCTCTGGCTCCCTGTCGGATGATGAACTCTCCATCTTCATAATGAGTCTGCACAGAGAAGCCAGATAGGAGGATTCACAGTGTGACTCCACCAAAGAAGAGGACAAAAATAACTTAAATCGGTTCCACCGGAGTCTACCGATGATTTCACTTGTTAACCCTGCTGAAGAAGCAGCGGGTTGTCGTGATAATCACTACAGAGGGGTGTGGTGGTGTAGCTGACAGTCTCACCTCCTCCATGACGTCAGCCAGTTTACTGAGAGTCTCCTCTGGAAGACCCTGGAAAGTGGGAACACTGCAGAGAGACAGAGTTTTATTATTTATGATGAGTTTCAGAAGAAAGTTCTATGTTTCTGGTTGTTTGGAGCCTGTAATTTAACCCACAACTGCTGAAGCTCCAGATACTCAACTTGTCTGAAGGAGGCCGATTTTACTGCTTCTTTAATCAGCATTACAGTTTTTAAGCTGTGCGACCATGACTACTAATGATCAATCAGCCTTTTATAAAGATAAACTTGGATTAGCAAACACAACGTGCCTTTCGAACGTAGTGCTACGGTACGGTAAATCCCGCCCAAAGACACACAGGTTAATTGGTGACTCTAAATTGCCCTGCGATGGTCTGGCGACCTGTCCAGGGTGTACCCCGCCTCTCGCCCAGTGTCAGCTAGGATTGGTTTTGAAATCTGAAGGATTATGACTTTAAATCTGCTGGGAGTGAGATCTGGATTAGGGACTCAGTGATCATCTCTGTGGGAATCGAACCTCTAACCCTGACAGTTGGTGCCTTGCTCGTGGGTTTTTATTGGTTGCATTGCAGCAGTCACCTCTTGAGGAAGTCCATGTACTCAGCATGTTTGATGAGTCCAGTTCTCATCATGATGGTCTGGAAACACTGACGGTCAATCGCCCACAGCTTCACATGGACCAGAGCTGAAAAACACACGTTTAAGAAAACAAATAGATTTATTACCACCAGCTTCACACATTAAATGTTAATCTGTGGTTGCATCTCCTGTAGAAGGAAAAGAGGATCTGGACATCACTATTAAACAGTACGTGTGTGTGTGTGTGTACATGATTACTTAATACAGTAGGTGTGTCTATAGCGCTGCGTGCACGTGTCCATGTTAATGCATGTGTGAGTTTGTGCACTTTTGTTTCTCTCTCTCTAATCTGCATGTCAGAAGCAGAGAGCAGATGAAAACATGAATAGTATAGAGCTACTGTGTGTGTGAGAGAGTGCATACAGTGTGCAGATGTTGTCATGGCAACATCATGCACGCACGCACACACGCACGTGTCATGTTAAACGGGTAGACCGCTGCGTCCAACCAGCAGCAGGTCAAACACTCTCATGTTGAGACAGAGAGTCCAGCAACTGGCGTTTCTTAATTTTATGGTATCAGACCTGGAAAAGATCCCAGGAAGCGTTCGCCTGTAACCTGTTTGGATCATTCGGGCTGATGCGGACTAAACAACTGGACCAGGACCGTTCGAAAAGGGGCGTCTCGGTCTGTTTCCACAGCGACTCTGTTGCAGTTTGTTTGTGGCGTGAAACTAAACTGACCAACCACACCATTTTATGATGTCAGATATTTAATTTTAGTCTTATTAATAAATCTGTCTGCTGAACTGGAACTGTTCGTATAATAAGCAGTGTACATGTTTATGCAAATCATTTGGTAATCATGGGAACACAACGGTGCATCAGCACCAGGGCCAAAACCAGGGTTTAGGGATTAGTGAGATCCAGATTTTTTGTTTCTTTTAATTGAGCTTATTTACAGAAATTCCTATCAAAATTATACCTAAACACAACCACAGTGAAACACTGCAGTCACACAAACTAATGATCTATAATGAAAAACATACACAGGGACCTGCAAAAAAATACTTTTATTTAAGATTTTCTTGTGTGTGTGCAGTGATAGCTTGAACCGGGCAGTGGCACTAACTGCAGGCTGTTCATTAGGGTCTTTCTCATTTACATTTTAATCATTTAGCTGATGCTTTTATCAAAAGCAACTTACAATTTCTATACATACTAAACAAACTTCTAAAAGCAACACTTGTGTTTTTGCCCCCATTCATCCTGAGCTGAACTGAAAGATCTGAGACTTTCTCTACATACACAAAAGGCCTATTTCTCTCAAATACTGTTAGAATCTGTGTTAGTGAGCACTTCTCCTTTGCCGAGATAATAATATTCACCTCACAGGTGTGGCATATCAAGATGCTGATCAGACAGCATGGGGATTGCACAGGTGTGCCTTAGGCTGGCCACAATAAAAGGCCTTATGCTGGTCACAATAAAAAGCCACTCGAACCAAGTATGTTTTGTTTCCTAAACCTAACCAAATTGCTACTTTAAGAACATGCCGTTTCAAAATGGCGATGTTTCGAAATGCTAGCGTTTTATTTTGAAACTCTAACCGGACGTTGCATATTTATTTTTGCTAACTATACTGGACGTTGCATATGTATTGTTGCTAACTATACTGGACGTTGCATATGTATTGTTGCTAAGTGTTGCTAACTTGACAGCGGAGCCTTAAATGTCTAAAACGGATGCCAAAGGTCCTTGGACCAAGCGTCAAAATATGATGAGTCAGGAGTGAGAATGTGTTGACAGGACTGACAGAGGAAACTCTCCAGAGGCAAGTTTCATTTCAACAACAAAATAACAGGTCCATTAAAAGAGTCTCTGTGCTCCTGTTTGTCAGTCTTCACAACATGCCGGTGGTCGCAGTAATGCTGATGAGAGAAAAGGAGGAAGTCAAGAAGAGACCGCATGCCCTTAAAAAACTTCCATACTTATTTGAACTGACCAAACTAAACTTTTAAACTTCTGCTGTTAAAGTGGCAGAGTGAGAATCTATCATGTTAAAACGTTGAGGGGATGCTCCTGTTTAAACTGGCCAATCACTGTGCAGCTGGCTTTAACATCACTGGTTATGACGGCAGGGAGATGCAGGTTCGATTCCCCAGACAGCCGAGGACACTGGAGGTGTGTGGGACTGAAATCAGAGAACAACCACAGCATATCTTCCTTCAGCGGGGAGACACTGTTCATCTGTTATCACAGCAGATGTGACAGGTAATAAAAAGCAAACGAGATGAAGCTCCAGGCCAAACATTAATTTAAGTTTATATTCAGTTTTTGCTTTAAAAGGTTTTAAGGAGGAGGTCTGATGTGGATTCAGGACTCTGCTGGTATTTCTCCTGAGGACTCTGTCACTTGGAAAAGTCTTTTTAATATCGTCTTTATGAAGCTGGGACTGTGGCTCAGACAGCCGAGACACTTTTAGACCTCACGACCTCTGGATGAAACCACAGACGTGACGACTGTCCTCCCCAGAGAAACTTCAGAACGAGCCGTCTGTTTCCTGACAGTGACCTCAGGTGGTCGTGTGAATTAAACCGTAGCATTACATTTTTACAGCACCACAAAAACTCTTACAAAGTGACAGCACAGACATCTTGTTTCCTATCAGCAGTCAATGTTTATTTCTTCAAACCACGGCCACTGAAGTAAACATTAACCCCCGAGGTGGAAGATCACAGAACAGTCCAACCCATTCTCACCCCCAAGTCGTGACATATGGACGCCAGAGCCCTTGGCGTCAGTTTGTAACGTACTGGGGGAAGCGCTGCACGGTCCCTTCTGAACGCTAAAGGTAGCTGCAGGATATTTAACAAAAAAAGTCAGAGTAAGGAGGTGGTTGGGGTGAATGGAGGGCCAGAGATTGCACCTTTTTTTTTGTGTGGGAAAAAAAAGAGTCAACATTGAATGTTTATTGATACGTAGGTAGAAAGTAGTTACTTTAAACCAAAGTGAATAATGTTGGTTCCTAAACCTAATCAAACTGGTTTTATTTTGAAAAAGTTTAACCAGACATTGCATATTTATTCTTGCTAACTTAACCGCGGAGCCCTACATGTCCAAAAAAGCGTCATGAAAGAGTCATAGACTCTAGTCATCCGTTGGTGGTGGTTGGTGGTTTGTGGACTGCCGTTTTGAAGCTTGAAGTGCCCGGAAATGACCACATTTGGATGAGACGGTGGAGCTAACGGCCGTTTGATGAGCTTGTTAGCTTGCTTAGCAATGGTGCATCAGTAATTCAACTTAACTGTTTTAACTGGGCTGATAACTCTGACTAGTGAACAACAGTCTCAAAACTAAACATACTCACCAGAGAAAGTGAACAGCCGACGCCTAATAAGCTTGTTCAACGGTGCTGGTTAAATTTACACAGTGCCGTGGGGACGAGTCACTCTAGCCTGATTGACAGGTCACCATGGTTACGACTTGTCAATCATAGAGAATCCCGCCCTGAAGCATACTTTCCTTATAATTTACTAAATAAACATCATGCTGTGTTGAAGAAGACTTGAAACTAGCGACTGAGACCATAAACTCATCAGGAAAGTGTTTACTGAGGGAATAAATCGGCTGAGAAGCAGAAACATTTTACCATTATTTCTAATGGAACCGGACTTCTTTTTGCAACCAGAAGAGTCGCCCCCTGCTGGCCGTTAAAGAGAATGCTGGTTTAAGGGACTTCTGCATTGGTTTCGCGTCTCAGACCGGAAGCTTCCCGCTTGGAAAGAGTCTTGGCAAAGCGTCTATGTGTGACAAGTTGGGAGTGCGAATGTGTTGAAGGGTCATGTGAGCTGTTCTGTGGCTGTTTCACCTCTGGTTCCGGCCAAAGTTAAGTCAAGGCAAATGCTGGAGGTGCCAGGGAACTGTAGGGATAATCTCCAATGAGAAGGACAAAAGAAAGAACAAAAGGATGAACAGACAAATGAAAAATGCCTGAGCACTATTAAAGATGTTAGGACATTTTCCAGCAGCAGTAGAATTGCAGAAGGGTATTTTTAAACCTGGTCCCTGTTTTCACACGTTGGTGTTGAAATGACTTGTAGGTACAGAAAGTTCTGAATCCTGCAGTAGTTGCTTCAGCCTGCTGCTACGTATTCCTACATCAAAATAGCATCCACAAAAAGAGCTTCTTGTTGCCAGCGACAGGCTCAGACTTTAACGCCAGGAGTCTGACAGCATCATGAAAAGGATCCCTACGACGGTGACCCCCTTTGTTTTTAACAGGAAACTGAAATCTCGCTCAAGGACAGTTCTCACTCTGTATCTTGTGAGAGGAGAGTTGTTGCAGGAAGATGACCGTGGAAACGAGGGAGAGGAGTTTGTCGTGTTGGAGTAACGTTGGGAAATAAAGTCTTGCAAGCAGCTTTTAGGTGTGTGTGTGTGATTGTGTGAGTGTATACTTGTACTTCCTCCACAGTGAGGACGGGAACAAGAGGACATTTTGTTCGACCTCACATCTTCAGGGGTTACTTTTAGGGTTAGGGTAGAATTAGGTTTAGGTCAGGGGCGGCTTTTTAGTTGTGAGGGTAAAGATTAGGGTCAGGGTCCAGGGAATGCATTATGTCAACGCTGGTCCTCACATAGATAGAAGTACAAGGATCTGTGTCTGTCTGTGTGTTGGCTGCAGTTACCTTGGAGATGTGAAGACTTGTACAAACTTCCTTCAGCATGAGTGAGTCTGAACTCAGACACACAAACAATAAAGTATCTGTTGCAGAGTAAAAGTATCTGTTCTAGAGTAAAAGTATCTGTTGCAGAGTAAAAGTATCTGGTCTAGAGTAAAAGTATCTGTTGCAGAGTAAAAGTATCTGTTCTAGAGTAAAAGTATCTGTTGCAGAGTAAAAGTATCTGGTCTAGAGTAAAAGTATCTGTTGCAGAGTAAAAGTATCTGTTGCAGAGTAAAAGTATCTGTTGCAGAGTAAAAGTATCTGTTCTAGAGTAAAAGTATCTGTTCTAGAGTAAAAGTATCTGTTGCAGAGTAAAAGTATCTGGTCTAGAGTAAAAGTATCTGTTGCAGAGTAAAAGTATCTGGTCTAGAGTAAAAGTA